TATCACAGCCTTTGAAATTTATTAATTTAAATAAGCTTAAGCAGTTTCCTTCATTTTGCTTAATATTATTGAAGAGATTTCTTCAGGGAGGAATTTCTTGTTTTCTCCTTTATAATTTACTACAATCATGGGTGTATCATTGACACCAGCTTCAACTTTGAATGGCCATAATTTAATATAATTTTGGACTGTAGTTTCAGAGAATTTTCTTCCTATTAGTCTTTTAATATCAAAAATTGTATTNATTATTATTATTATTATTATTATTATTATTATTATTATTATTATATTAGTTATTATTAGTTTGAATATTATTATTGATCTGTTTATAGATTCAATACTTAATATGGATTTTATAAATATGGTTATTATAATTATTATTATTATTATGGTTATTAAATTTAAGGAGCATAAGGTACATAATATTAATTAATTGGTTATTATTAAGCTTATAATAATGGTACATTTTAAGTTGAAAAGTCTTAAGGTGCTTTTGCATTTTCTTTATCCATTTTCCGTATTGTTTATTTAATATATTAATTATTTGAAATAAATAAACTATTTATCAATACAATTCTATATATTCTATGTTGTTTATATATAATACATAAATATAATTATATATGTATATATATATCAAATTATTTTATTAATTAAAAGTCCATATCTATCTTATCTAACATAACCATTTTAATATATTCTTTACATCATTTCATCCATTATTTATTCAATCTCTTTTTATTTATATATATATTCTTATATATCTACATTTACATTACATTCAATCCATTTTATTCTTTCTTTAACTAATTATTCAAGTCTTGATATTTCTTCAGCTGTGAATTTGCATTTAATTTATTCATCTTTGATAGTGTTTTTAATTTAATATGCAGTTAATTCAATGTTGTTCTTGGCTTCAATCTTTGATTTAATTATATCATCTTCAGCTCTAAATTTTTCAGCTTCCTAAGCTAATAATTCAATTTCATCTTTTGATAATCTACTTTTTTAAGGCATAATAGTAATCTTTTATGAATTTTTTGTAGCCTAATCCTCAGCATTAAAGTAAATTGTACCATTTATATCAATCTCAAATGATACTTCAATTTTTGGAACTCCTCTAGGAGCTGGAGCAATACCATCTAAATTAAATTGTCCAATTTTTTTGCAATCTTTTGTCATTTTTCTTTCTCCTTCATAAATTTCAATTATGACATTTGTTTAATTATCTGTGTAGGTAGTAAATATTTGTGTCTTTTTATATGGAATAGATGTATTTCTCCCAATAAAAACATTCATGATACCACCAGCAGTTTCAATACCTAAAGATAAAAGAGTGTAATCAAAATATAGAAAATTCTTATTCCATTCATCGTCTTAATTTTTTATGATGTCAGCTTAGATGGCTGCTCCATAAGCAACAACTTCATCTGGATTGATCGATTTGTTCAATGTCTTTCCATTAAAATAATCTTACACTAGCTCTTAAACTTTTGGAATTCTTGATGATCCTCCAACCATTACAATTTCATGAACATCTATTTTTGAGATACCTGATTCCTTAAGAAAATTTTCAATCAAAGTTATACATTCCTTAAACATGCTCATACATAAATCTTCAAATTTAGTTCTGCTGATAGTACAATTAAAATCTTCCTTACCATCTAAAGCATCAACTTCAATTATAGTTTAATCGGCTGATGAAAGAATTCTCTTAGCTCTTTCGCATTATGTTCTAAGTCTTCTTAATGATATCGGATTTCCTCTAATGTTGATTCCTTTCTTCCTAAAAAATTCATCACAACAATATTCTACAAGTTTGTTATCAAAATCTTCACCTCCTAAGTGATTGTAACCAGATGTAGCCACTATTTCAATAAAACCATCTTCAATAGTCAATAAGGAGACATTAAAAGTACCGCCTCCTAAATCTAATATAAGAGCATGTTATTCATTTTTGCATTTCATATCTAAATTATAAGCAATAGCAGCAGCAAATGGTTCATTGATAATTCTCAAAACATTCAAACCAGCAATGGCACCAGCATCTTTTGTGGCTTATCTTTAAGAATCATTAAAATAAGCTGGAACAGTTATCACAGCCTTTGAAATTTATTAATTTAAATAAGCTTAAGCAGTTTCCTTCATTTTGCTTAATATTATTGAAGAGATTTCTTCAGGGAGGAATTTCTTGTTTTCTCCTTTATAATTTACTACAATCATGGGTGTATCATTGACACCAGCTTCAACTTTGAATGGCCATAATTTAATATAATTTTGGACTGTAGTTTCAGAGAATTTTCTTCCTATTAGTCTTTTAATATCAAAAATTGTATTTTAATGATTTTTAGTTACTTGGTTTTGAGCATCATTACCAATGAGTATTTTAGTTTCATTAAAGGCAACATAAGATGGGATTTTTTTATTACCTTGATCATTAGGGATGATTTCAACTTTACCATTTGCAAAAACACTTACACAAGAATAGGTAGTTCCTAAATCAATTCCTATGGCAAAAGTTTAATCCATTATTATTATTTTCTATTATTATTTATTAAAAAACATCCAAACATTATTTTTGCTTTTAAATTGATTTAAGTAACTTATTTAATTTTCATTTAAATTTAATTAAATTTCCAGAAGCTTCTAAATTTCAATTAATTTATACAACATTGAAGCCTTTTCAATGTTATGATATTTTTAAATTAACCTATTTTACTTTAAGTTAAATTTTTAATATTTACAGATCTAATATGCATTTTAGAAAATGAAGTTTTTAATCTGATTTTACATATTTAAATGTTTTTTCATTTAATTTATAGAAATACCTAAAAATTATTAAAATAAGAAATCATACAAGTTTTCGTTAATATGTTCTAAAAGATAAGATAAAATTTAATTTATATTTTCTATCTTAATTTAAAATTAAAATTATTTTATTTTTGAAATCTAAAATTCTTAAATTCATTTCCTTTGAAATTAAGTGAATATGTTTTATTTATAATAATATTATTTTATAGTGTCCCAATTATTCAATAATTTAAGGAATCATATAAAATTAGTTCTTAAAAGTAGTAGAAATTATAAGAATGACAATATTCAACTTTAAGTTTCAAATAGTTAACATAAATTCTGAATATTTACAAGATAATAACTTTGATTTGTATACTCAGTTTGTATGATAATTAGTATGCAAAGATTTAGTAAAGGGAATAGAAATCTGATAAATTTGTATACATAAATTTGAGTGAAACTAATATAATTATAATTTCTTTCCCTAATTAAAATTCCTAAAAATGAAAATATAATTAATTTTATTATGTTATTTGCATATTGAGTACAGAATTAAAATTTTTGTTATTTGCACATATTTTATCTATGACAATTGACAATAAAGTATTTCGTTAAATGTTTTTTAATCAAATTGTCAATTTTATTTTGTTGAGTAATCGTTCTAATTATCATTAAAATATAAATATATTATATAATAAATAATACATTTTGAACTTAATAAATAATTATAAAATTGATTATAAACTTATATATTAAGATTGAAAATTAATTAATGAGAAAAGGATAATAAGAAAAAGATTTTGTTTATTAGTAGATTCTAGAACAAGTTCTTAATATTATTATTAAATCAATAAATCCTATTCTTTAGTGTTATTACAATCATTTATCATTATATTTAAAAGAATATATTAAAATGCGCTTAAGACATTAAACTCATAAAAACCAAATCTAGTAATAGTTTTTTATATTTTTAATTCTAATTAGCTTAATAATGTATGTCATAAAATAAATTTGAATAAGCCTTTATAAAAATCATGATATTTGAATATAAAATCCAAAGAATTTAAGAAAATCAAAAAGAACATTTAATTTATTTAGAGTATGATCAGTATTGATCTTAAATTTTCTTTAATAAATATATATTGATAGAAAATTATACAATATTAGTAATTTAAAAAATAAATAAAAATGATGCTCAATAATTAAGTAGAAGTATTGATAGTTAATTGTAATGGAACTAATTAGCATTAATTACCAATTAAGACTGAAATTGATTATTTTTCTTCTGCTTCAGCAAACGCCGATAGTAGCTAGGCATAAGAAAAAATTAACTTCAGAACTGATAAACAATCATCATAAATTGAGAATAATTACCAAGAAATAATTAATATTTATAATAATATTTGCAAAAATAAAAAGGGAAATTTTAAAAAGGAAAAAAAAAATTTAAAAGAGCTTTAGAAACAAATCAAATAATAAAACATTAGAGAAACTAATATTTACTATGAATAATTATAGAATGAATTATATAGGAAAGCTTTATTAAAGTTAGAAGAAGGAGATATATCTATTAAATAAAAAATTATTAAAGCATACCGAGATATAGAACCCTTAGTAACTGATTCAGCCTTTAAGTATGCTTAAAGATATTGTCAAAAATATGAAATAATTGATATAAATCAAATTATTTTATTATACAAAATTCTACTTCTACCAGAAGAAGTTTTAAGTAAGTTTGTTAAAGTTGAAGATAAAGGTATATTAAGATAAGAATATAAATTTTATGCTATGAACATACATCCTGATAAAAATAAACATCAAAAAGCTTTATTTGCCTTTTAAAAAATGAAAAAATATTGGAACGATATTCCTAACTAGTCTCATAATTGATTATATTTTACTTAATTTTTATAAAATAACTTATTTAATGAATGCAGATGAGATCACATTCGTAAAACTATATTCTTTACAAATTTTAGGCTAATAATTATTCTGAAACAATATTTTAAGATCGATAATTACGATTTGCTTATCATTCACCATTAAGATCATAATCTCAATTTTGTGTTTAAAAGAGTAAATCTCAATATATACCAAATGTATCGAATGTAGCAAGAGTAAGAATTATGAGCAAACTTGAAATGCTAGATTCCTTAAATAAGGTACAAACAGCAAAATTATGTAAGTGAGATTTCGTTAAATTTGAGCTCAAAAATGATCCTCCTATGAATTCATAAAAATCTAACAAAACAGATATACTTTCTAAAGTTGCTTAATTAGTCAAGAAATTATAACATAGAGAATTACCACATAAAATGATAGAAGCAACTGTTTTATCTCGTAAAACATCAATTCCAAAAAATACAAAATTACTTCTTTAATAGGAACATATTGTGAAATAAATTACTATTACTCAAAGAACCAAAGGAAAATAATAGAACTAAAGTTAGTTTTAATAACATCATGAATCATATAATGTAGAACTATTAAGAAGAAGCCCTGAATAAAAAGATAAGAAAACAGAAGATAATATTGAATATAAAATTGTATAATAAAAGCTTCCTTAAATTAAATCTTAAAAAGGGTTCTCAAGAAGCATTAAAAATATTGCACCTATATAAAAAAATGTGATTATTAGCTATTAAACAGCAACTAATAATAGCATCAATTAAATTAGTAATATAAATAATTCATCAAATTAATAATAAGATACTAAACCTATTATCAAAGTCAATAACTTTAATAATGTGTCAAATTTACTATAAACTAGTACTTTAATAAGTAAATAACCTATTTCATCTGAAACTGAAAAAAAAACAGCAGGAATCATCTCATAATTATAAACAATGTAATAAAAACATACAGAAAAAAGATTGCCAATACCTGATTCGAGTAATTTATCTCTAAGTGGATGGACAGACCGATCCCCAATAAATTGATATCAATTTTTGAAAGTTTACAAAATTTGTATATTTTGCTTTATAAATAAGACATCTATAAAATTATTAAATTCTATATTATTTTTATAAAACACTTTAAGTAAATATTATAGTGTTTCCAATAAAAATAGAATTTTAAATTTTCTTTTCTAAAATAAGTTTATAAATTATTTTTTAAAATGATTATGATTTAGAGAAATTAGAGAACTCTCCAAAAAAAATATTAATGTAAGTAGAGTAAAATATTATGGAGCATTTAAACTAGAAATATTAGATGTGTAATCTGATTTTGAAAAAATTTAGAAGTTTCAAATTCTGTATTGATTTGAGTTTAAACTTTTGTATAAAAAAATATGTGTAAAATAAATACTCAAAAAAGTTTGCGGAATATATTTTAATTTATAAAGTATAAGATTTTTTCAAAAGTAAATAGAATAATTTGAAAAAGATAAAAAATATTTAGGTTCAACTAATATAATTAAACTCCTCAAAATAAAGATTAAGAATCGGAAATATATATAAAAGCAGCAAAGAGAGAAAAGAATGAATGGAATGATGATACTCTTAAAATATGGATCAAATTATATAAATAAACCACATTGAATCTATTAAACAAATTAAGAAGATAATATAAAATAATCATTTTTTTAATTGATGAAAAATGTAACATGATGGATAAATGAAGATGTAAAAATAAAATTAATTATAAAGGTTTAATAAACAAAAGATTAATTATTAAAAATAAAGTTGGGATTCATGTGAAGATCAATTTAATGACATTCAAGATCTAGAAGATAATTATTTAATTTAACAAAAGAAATATTATTATTAAATGGGCATATTGTTTAATTAATATAAAGAAATCATGATTTTAAATGCATTCTCAAATAAATATTAATAATTATATAATGTAATCAAAGAAAAAGAGTTCATTTTTAGATTCTATCAAATAATTTTTTAATGATGCTCCAATTGATGATATTATCTATAATGAAGCTAATTCCACAATACCAATAGAAACTAAACAAAAAAAATAAAGTTCATAACAAAGTACTAAAGAAAGATCTAGTGATCCTAATGTTTTTAAGATTGGTAACGAAGACGAAGCCAATTAAATTTACAATGATGAAGAAGAAGATTGTGAATAATAAACTATGAGTGAAATGCAAAAAGAATACAGAATATTAATCCTTTATAATTTTAAATAAATTGGTAAGCCATTAGATTCAGGTTATTAAAAAAAATAAATCATCAATTTTCCTCCTGGTAGTACATTTAGAGTTATAAAACCAATAAAAACTCATAAATCATTAATGGATTATTTAACATCTGAAACTGAAAGGTATTTAGCTTTGGATGGAGGGTGGATTTACTTTTTTTAGTTAATTAGTAAAGATAAATTTAGTGTAAGCTCAGCAAATTCTTTAAATAATTTATTCTAAATATTAATTAAGAAAAATGAAGATAAACCTACATTTCGATTCATTTTTACAACAAAATAAATAAAAAGGTTTTATTTAGTTAACATTGAATAATAAGATTTATTATTTCTAAAACTAAAAACTGAATGTTAGAAACATGGAAAATCATTTAATTATTGAATAAATTAAATATAATGAATAATAGATATTAAATTATTGACTTAAGATACATATAAAATAAAGTAAAAATATGAAATTACTTTGATTTTAGCAATAATATTTATGCAAAAATTCAAGCATTTTCATGAAATAATAAATTGTTTTTGATTTAACATACTTTCTTTTGTATTATGTATAACATTTCGATTAAATTTTTATATTTTTTATTGTATATATACATATATCATTATTTTATTATGTAAATATTACAAATAATGGATGAAATCTTAGAAATTTATTATATTTTCTAATGTTATAATATATTTTAATGAATTAATAATAAAAAAATGAAAAAATTAATAATAAATTTTTTGTTTGTTAATGAATAATTTAGATTAATCGATTTAATCGGAATTCAATGAATTCACAGCCCAATTTTAATAATAAGAGAAAGAAATTAATAATCCAGAATCATTATCCTTTTAAAATAAATCTTAGTAACTTTAGCCAAATTCATCAATACAATTTTAATCAGCTGAACAATTACAATCATATTAATAAAGCATTATTCATTTTTAAGAATAGCCTTAAGGTGAAATACTTGATACATCATAAAATGAGACAGAACAATACTTAAATATTAGTTTTTAGGATATCATTCAACTTATTTTTAATAATCAATGTCCTTAGCTTAACAATGTACTAAAAACAGTAATTTTAAGAAGTTGTATAATAATAAATATATTTACTATTCTCAACTTAATTTTCATAATTAATGAAGTTGTAGCTTTGTATTTTTCATTAATTACAAAAGATGAAATAAAAGAATTATTTAGTGTTTATTTTGGATTCAATTTAATATCTGATTGTTTGATGATATACATTAATTGTTAATTAAGATATATTATAAATGAAGCTGAACAAATAAATCATGGAGATATTACTCATCCAATTATTGAATACTTAAAATATACAATAAAATTAAACAGTCCATTTGAAGACATAATGGAAGATGAAGAATAAAATTCATAAGCATAATAAGTGGCCATTAGTATATCTTAGAAAATTACAACAACAAAATGGATTTCCTATTTGCTTGAAAGTTAAAATTCATAAATGTTTGCACTGAATAGGGTATTTGTATTGGTGAAGATAATATTGTTTGCTTGGGGAAATATAACTATATTGTAATGGGAATTTCTAAATTGGAATGATAGAATAAATAGCACTGACTATTTATAATCTATATTAATAGTAATGACCTTATTTTCAATGCTCATAGGATATATGATAATAGCTATGATAATCTGTATATTATTAATAATATGTGCTATAATTCCTATAATAATAGGAGTAGCTATATGGTAATCATGCAGTTTGTGTACTGATCTTTATGATGAGTATAAATAACATAGAATTGAATAATAAAGACAAGGATTTTTATCAAATTTAAATTCACAAAAATTCTAAGATTTAAAGAATTAGGATATAAATATACATGAAGAGTGTTCAATATGTTTATAGACTTATCAAATTGATGATGATTGTATTAAATTACCTTGTAATGTTGATGGTGGTAATAAGAAAATTGATCACATATTTCATGATGAATGTATAAGAATTTGGATATAAGATCAGGGTTCTTGTCCAATATGTAGAACTATATTTATTGAAAGACTTGAAAATTGATAAATTTTTCTTTTATTATTATTGGTTTATTCTTACTTTAATTAATAATTTTAGTTTTATAGCAGTTAAACCATTAATGTCTCTAAATACAACTATGCCATATTATCGTAATACATCAAGAGAGATCAAAACTGTTAGAGAAATAATACAAGCTGAAGCAATTAAAAGTGCTAGAATATTGAGTAAAGATAAAGTCAAAGTAAAACAGAATACATCAATTGGAGATTGTAAGATTATATGTTTTATCATAAGTAAATCGTAGTAAAAGAAAAACAAATAATTCATTTTATGATAATCGAAATATATCTTAGAATGAAAATACAAATATACTATAATGTTATTTAGCAAATGCATTCTAAGAGAAAAAAGAAAATTTATAAAGAATATAAATGCAAGAAATAACTAATAAAAATAAATTAGAAGAGAATAAATAGAGAGAGATTAAATATTTAATGAGAATTGCAGCATTAGAAAAAGAATCATCAAAATTAACTGAAATGGTATCAAAATTAAAGAAAGAAAATACATAATTAAAATAATCAAATAATAAAGAATCTATAGTATTGTAATTATAAGAAGCTTTAAATTAATAAAAAATTGAAAATTAATTACTTAAAAAATAAATAACTCATCTATAAAATACAAATAATAATTTTAATAATAGTATATAAAAAAGAACAGATGTATAAAAGAGTATTACATTGAATACAACAAATACAGTTAATACAGCAAACACAACAACTAATACTTTTAATGATATTCTAAAATCTAAAGAGTATATACCCAGTTATTTACTTGCTTTAAGTTTAGCTGAATGAATTAAAAATTGATAGTTATTTATATTCTTATTTCAAATATCTCTCATATTATAATTAATCTAAATTACATTTACAAATGTAATATTTCTCATTTATTTATATTTATTTATAGAGATTATTTGAATTTTAATACACAATATGAATTATTTATATAAATTAATAATGTTGTTAGATATTTTTATAATTATTACGCATTTTATAATTCGATTATATTTTAAAGCATATGTTTATTTGATTATTTATTCTTATTATTGTTAATTTAAAAAGTCATGAATATGTTCCAACTATTATTCACAAAATTTGCTGATATTTTATTATCATCTAGAACCTTTCCGTTCTTGTAATGTCAACCATCCATTTAAAATTAGACAAAAGAAATGGGTGTAATTTGGACTTAAGAAATGAATCTAAATGTGAGACAGTTACTATAAAACAATTGGAGGACATCTTAATCAAATGAAATGATTGTGTAATTTTTTATTGAAAATGATGAAAACTCTTTTTTAGTTGAAGAATGGTGTCTAATTTAATAACAAAGTACTATTCCTAATCAGTTAACCAGTAATAAAATGAATAATACCTTACTAAAACAATTAACAATTTGGTTAAGATCAGCTATTGCTATGATGACTATGACAACTATATTTAAAGAAGAATTCATAACGAAATAATATAAAGTTTCACATAGTTTATTATTTTATAATAAGAATACTAAAAAAAGAAGTGATTGGATAGATGACTCAAAATTATAAGTTAAAAAGATTACAACAAAATTTCTTAACTAATAAAATCTATAATTGACAATAGCTTAATAAGGATCATTAGATTAAGTATTATAAAGTAGAATGAATAGAACAGAATCACCATTATATAAAAGATGTCGTTATTTGAGTGAATAAATTTGTGATAAAGATTCATAAGCATATTAAAGGAAAATGACTATGGATTCTGAATAGTGGGATTAATAAAAATCTCATCTCATAGAAAATACTTCACTATCTTCTACAAATAATCTAAATAGATCATTTATTTCAGTATATTCTAGGAAAGAAGAAGTAGAATTACTATTTACATAAGAAGAAGCTGCTTTAAAATTATAAGATAAAAATTTTCTAGATGAGAATTATGAAATAAATATGATGACAAATGATCATGTATAAAAAGAAATATTTATTTCTTAAATTATGATTACTAATAAACTTTCAATATAAGAAAAGAATAATCAATAGTAAATTTTAAACACTTTAAAGAATATTCATAATAAATCAAAAAATAGAAGAATTAGATCTCTTTAAATTACTAAATTATTGAATTTCTACAGATAATTTTCATGATTTATATATGATTACTATTTATTATTATAAATATATAAGTTCTGTAGATTAAATAAATATTTTAGCAAATCAATCTGGTAAAGCAGGATTGTTAAAGTCATCTCTCATAAAATAATCGTCATTTTCATCATAAAAATAGTATTCCGAACAATATATTTAATCTTCTTCTAATTACAAATTTTTAATATAATCATCTTCATTTTCATAGTACTATTAATATTGGAGAATTTATTAAAGTTCAGGTTCATCATCTATTTCCCTTTGAACTGCTAATTAGTCATCTGCTTCTATTATCATATTATCCCAAGAGCTCTATTCTTATTATTCTTCTTTTTCTTATTCTTAAGTTATGGCTGATTCATTTTTCAATTCTTTTATGAACTAATTGAGATAGCCCATCTTTTTATCGAGAAACCTCATTATATCGATGGATTATGGAATTTTCCTAGATTCAAAATGAAAGTATTACCTAAATACACTATAATATTATTCTAGAGATCTTTTAGGAAGTCCTACAAGATCAGCTGCTTCTTTCAAAGTTGGCTTCAAGTAATTACCAACCTCATCATAATAGCCATTTTCAAACAAATCCCTCCATTTTTAGACTGCATTCAAAGCTTCCCCAACATATCTCTCTCTCTTTGATCTTCTTTAGTCCTACTTTTCAGATTGAGTTTCTGTATTCATTCTATTATAATTAGAAATAATATGACAATTAATTACATTATTTAGGCATAAAAACAAAAATAGATTTTAAATTTATAGAATTATATAAATTAAAATGAATCTGTATATAAAAAATTATAAAACCATATTCAAAAAATAAAAAAACACTTACAGTAATAACAGCTATAATTCTATGCATACATTTTAAAACAATTTAAGAATATCACAATTATAAAAGAATTCTATAAATTCATAAAATATCATTTAATAACAATATTTAATATTCTGAAAATGATGTTTCCTCATCAAAAAAATATGGAATTATGAAAAAGAATGAAGGAGCTATTTAAATACCTGATATTAAAAGAAATAAATTAACAAAAAACTATAATTTGAAATATTGAACCTTAATTCATTAAAAGATTGATGTGAAAAATTTTAAATATCTCCTTATATTATGCAAAATTTAGATATTAAATTTGATAGCCAAAAGAAATCATACTATCTGATAATTAATACCATAAATAATTATAATCTTTTACTGTAGTAGTGAAAATTCTATGTAAATTAAAAAAAATGAACAACTAATTTAATGGATAGAAGATTTTTTTAATTTTTGAAATGATGAAAGTTTAATTTATTAATGTAAATTAAGCAAAAATAAAATTCAAATAAAAAGTAAATTTATTTAATCAAATTTTATAATCCTTCTTCACTATAATTAAAATAAAAATAATAGTCTAATTCTATTAGAACTGAATAATGATAAAAGATAAGGAATATAATTATTTACGCTTAATTTGATTGGTTATTTATTATTGCAAAAATTAATGAAGAAATATTATAATAATCCCAGCTCCATTTATTCTTATTAAAATATATTTATATTGTGTAGAATGATAAATTATTAGAATAATATATTGAAGATTTGAGATATAAAGAAGAATTATAACCTAAATTTTTTTATAATTTCTATTTTATATTAAGAATGATTATTAAACAAAATTTCTATAATTGAATTTGATGAATTCTAACTCATATCTTTTGGAATATCTATTAATAAATAAAAATAAAAAGTATTTGAATAAAAGTATTGAGGTTTCAGAAATTATTTGATAAAATATTAGGTAAACACAGTAATTAATCAAATTATATAATCAAAAATTTAAAACAGATTATATTAAAAATTAATATTAGACAATTTTAATTATTAAAGACATTATTAATGATATTTAGCAAAATATACTGACAAGAGGGGTATAATCATTAAGTTTATGGATTAAAAACTAAAAGTAGGATTATCAAGATTTTTTTAACAAATTAATAATTTTTAATATTCAAGATTAAAAAAACAAAAATTAGTTTATAATAAGCAAATAAGAAATTTTAAAAGTGGTGATTAAATTGCATTTTCGAAATGAACTATTTATAGTTTAATGCCTACTATATGAATATAATTAAGAATTAAATTCATAAATTAGTAGGTATTTGATGATCATCAAGACTTGAATAATTAGTTGAANATTCTTAAAGATAAGCCACAAAAGATGCTGGTGCCATTGCTGGTTTGAATGTTTTGAGAATTATCAATGAACCATTTGCTGCTGCTATTGCTTATAATTTAGATATGAAATGCAAAAATGAATAACATGCTCTTATATTAGATTTAGGAGGCGGTACTTTTAATGTCTCCTTATTGACTATTGAAGATGGTTTTATTGAAATAGTGGCTACATCTGGTTACAATCACTTAGGAGGTGAAGATTTTGATAACAAACTTGTAGAATATTGTTGTGATGAATTTTTTAGGAAGAAAGGAATCAACATTAGAGGAAATCCGATATCATTAAGAAGACTTAGAACATAATGCGAAAGAGCTAAGAGAATTCTTTCATCAGCCGATTAAACTATAATTGAAGTTGATGCTTTAGATGGTAAGGAAGATTTTAATTGTACTATCAGCAGAACTAAATTTGAAGATTTATGTATGAGCATGTTTAAGGAATGTATAACTTTGATTGAAAATTTTCTTAAGGAATCAGGTATCTCAAAAATAGATGTTCATGAAATTGTAATGGTTGGAGGATCATCAAGAATTCCAAAAGTTTAAGAGCTAGTGTAAGATTATTTTAATGGAAAGACATTGAACAAATCGATCAATCCAGATGAAGTTGTTGCTTATGGAGCAGCCATCTAAGCTGACATCATAAAAAATTAAGACGATGAATGGAATAAGAATTTTCTATATTTTGATTACACTCTTTTATCTTTAGGTATTGAAACTGCTGGTGGTATCATGAATGTTTTTATTGGGAGAAATACATCTATTCCATATAAAAAGACACAAATATTTACTACCTACACAGATAATTAAACAAATGTCATAATTGAAATTTATGAAGGAGAAAGAAAAATGACAAAAGATTGCAAAAAAATTGGACAATTTAATTTAGATGGTATTGCTCCAGCTCCTAGAGGAGTTCCAAAAATTGAAGTATCATTTGAGATTGATATAAATGGTACAATTTACTTTAATGCTGAGGATTAGGCTACAAAAAATTCATAAAAGATTACTATTATGCCTTAAAAAAGTAGATTATCAAAAGATGAAATTGAATTATTAGCTTAGGAAGCTGAAAAATTTAGAGCTGAAGATGATATAATTAAATCAAAGATTGAAGCCAAGAACAACATTGAATTAACTGCATATTAAATTAAAAACACTATCAAAGATGAATAAATTAAATGCAAATTCACAGCTGAAGAAATATCAAGACTTGAATAATTAGTTAAAGAAAGAATAAAATGGATTGAATGTAATGTAAATGTAGATATATAAGAATATATATATAAATAAAAAGAGATTGAATAAATAATGGATGAAATGATGTAAAGAATATATTAAAATGGTTATGTTAGATAAGATAGATATGGACTTTTAATTAATAAAATAATTTGATATATATATACATATATAATTATATTTATGTATTATATATAAACAACATAGAATATATAGAATTGTATTGATAAATAGTTTATTTATTTCAAATAATTAATATATTAAATAAACAATACGGAAAATGGATAAAGAAAATGCAAAAGCACCTTAAGACTTTTCAACTTAAAATGTACCATTATTATAAGCTTAATAATAACCAATTAATTAATATTATGTACCTTATGCTCCTTAAATTTAATAACCATAATAATAATAATAATTATAATAACCATATTTATAAAATCCTTATTAAGTATTGAATCTATAAACAGATCAATAATAATATTCAAACTAATAATAACTAATATAATAATAATAATAATAATAATAATAATAATAATAATAATAATTAATATAACCTTATTAATAATAGATAACTGGTATTGTATTACAAAATCCTTATATTCCTTATGTAAATATATATAATTTATATTTTAGACTCCATAAGTAGTATAAAATGCATCTGGATTTAGAACTCCAGCATTAGTTTAATGTCCTTTTTGTAATTAACATTCAGTTACAACTATTACTTATAAACCAGGTAATGATACATATTGGATTGCTGTATTATTATGTATTTTCTTTGGTTGTTTATGTTTAATACCTTTATTATCTGGTGATTGTAAAGATGTTTATCATCAATGTAGTTATTGTGGAAAAGTTGTTGGACATACACCTTATAAAGCATGTTCATGATTTTATATTATCTATATATACATTTCATTTTCATAATTAAACATAATAGATATAAAATATCAAAGTATTCTTATAATTATAAAAATATAAATTAATCAAATGGAATATAATCAAAATAACTAATATGGATAAGTCTCTGCTTAATAAGGAGGATACCCCTATTTTTAACCTTAAGCATAGCAGAACTAATATGCATAACCATAGCCATATCCTGCTTACCAATAACCAGCTCCATATTTAGATCCGAACATTCCAGTTGGATAACCAGTCGGTTAACCCTAATATGGAAACTATCCTTAACAACCTGTATAGTAATAAGTTATATTAATTTCTAAAAGTTAATCTGGCTTGGTACCGAATGGACCGATTTATACTGCAGCACCTGTTTTGCGAAGTGCAGAAGGAATGAGATTTCCTGTTTAAATTNAAAGAAAGAATAAAATGGATTGAATGTAATGTAAATGTAGATATATAAGAATATATATATAAATAAAAAGAGATTGAATAAATAATGGATGAAATGATGTAAAGAATATATTAAAATGGTTATGTTAGATAAGATAGATATGGACTTTTAATTAATAAAATAATTTGATATATATATACATATATAATTATATTTATGTATTATATATAAACAACATAGAATATATAGAATTGTATTGATAAATAGTTTATTTATTTCAAATAATTAATATATTAAATAAACAATACGGAAAATGGATAAAGAAAATGCAAAAGCACCTTAAGACTTTTCAACTTAAAATGTACCATTATTATAAGCTTAATAATAACCAATTAATTAATATTATGTACCTTATGCTCCTTAAATTTAATAACCATAATAATAATAATAATTATAATAACCATATTTATAAAATCCATATTAAGTATTGAATCTATAAACAGATCAATAATAATATTCAAACTAATAATAACTAATATAATAATAATAATAATAATAATAATAATAATAATAATAATAATTAATATAACCTTATTAATAATAGATAACTGGTATTGTATTACAAAATCCTTATATTCCTTATGTAAATATATATAATTTATATTTTAGACTCCATAAGTAGTATAAAATGCATCTGGATTTAGAACTCCAGCATTAGTTTAATGTCCTTTTTGTAATTAACATTCAGTTACAACTATTACTTATAAACCAGGTAATGATACATATTGGATTGCTGTATTATTATGTATTTTCTTTGGTTGTTTATGTTTAATACCTTTATTATCTGGTGATTGTAAAGATGTTTATCATCAATGTAGTTATTGTGGAAAAGTTGTTGGACATACACCTTATAAAGCATGTTCATGATTTTATATTATCTATATATACATTTCATTTTCATAATTAAACATAATTGAAATTTAAGAGAAATTATAAAAATCTGTAAGTATTATTAGAAATCCATCAGATCTTTTGAATCAACAAAAAATTCTATAGTAGGAGTTTAAATTCATCAATTTAATAATTTAATATTCATCAAATAATTAAAAAAATCCTTCTTTTTATAACTAAATTTTATAGGTATAAAAATAATTTAGTTACACTAATTATTGTGTATTTTTCAATTTTAGATTTCTTTATGATCTAAGATTATTATCGTAAAAATTTAAATTAAATTATCGATTTTTCATCTTTTGTCTAATACTATATAATTTTATACTCTGAAATTTCATATTATTTATTTTAAATTAAATCCAAATAGATTTAACTTATAAAATGGGGAGTCAATGTTCGAATTGTTAGAGTTGTTAAAAGAAAGACGAAATTTTGATTAGCGAATTTCACTAATAAACTATGAATCACTATTCAAATAATTAATAGGATTGTGAGGAGGATGATTAATAAGAAAATACATTTAAGGAAGAACAAAAAGAATCGATATAACCAATTTAAGATCCAGTTGAACATGAAGTTCAAAATTAGGCATAATCTGAAAAGAAAATGGAGATAAATTTAACTTCTTGTAATTTTTACATTAAATAGTTAGAGTCTAATAGTGATAGTTAGAGAAAGAAAAATGAAATGGCATTTAGAAATCATGAGGATATTTTAGAAACATTGGGAAGCAGATCAAATTGTAAATAAAGAGAAAGAAGAAACAAACATATATTTAAGAGTGGAGCGTCTTATGAAGGTGAGTGGATAGGTTAATAAAGAGATGGATATGGAGTTTAAATATGGGTAGACGGTGCTAAATATGAAGGAGAGTGGAAAAATAATAAAGCTGATGGGAAGGGAAAGTTTTGGCATTTAGGAGGAGATTATTATGAAGGATAATGGAAATAAGATAGGGCTTGTGGTAAAGGAATATATTTACATGCTAATGGGGCTAAGTTTGAAGGTGAATGGTTGAATGATCAACCTCACGGTTATGGAATAGAGGTTTGGGTCGATAAATCTAGATATGAGGGAAATTATAGTCATGGAAAGAAAGATGGCTTTGGAAAATATTTTTGGAATGATGGTTCTATTTATATTGGAAATTGGTAGAGTAATGTTATGGATGGATATGGAGTTCATTATTGGGTTGATGGTAGAGTAATATTTATATTCAATTAAGAAATATGAAGGTGGATGGAAAAAGAGTTAAATGAATGGAAGAGGTACTTATAGTTGGCCTGATGGAAGATAGTATAATGGAGAATACCTAAATGATAAGAAATAAGGATATGGAGTATATGTTTGGCCAGATGGACGAAGTATTAATCAATGAATTAAATTCAAGAATATGAAGGGTATTGGGTAAATGGGAAGTAGGCTGGAAAAGGTAGATACATATTGCCTAATGGTAAGAGTTAATTAGGATTGTGGGAAGGAGGTAGACGTGTTATGTGGTTAGATTAGGATGAAGACATCAAGCCTCTTGGCTGGGATGATTATGAAGATCCTAAATAATAATACATTAATCATGCTTATAGTTGAATTTATTTTATTTATACCTAAGTTTAATATTAATATTAATTGAAAATAATCTATTTATTTCCAGTTATTTTAATTTCTAACTTACCTAAGCCAATCCATAAAGGATCCTTCAATTATAAACAATGGATAATTTTTATTATTATCAGTAATTGATAACTAAACTGGAATACCTGATTTAAGTATTTTTATAGAAAATATTCTTTTGGTAAAATATTTGTTGCATAGTGTACACATCATTGTATACACCAACTGTTCAATTAATTAGCTGATATTGATATCTTTAATCTAAAATTTAAGTCGAATAATGAAAAATTTAACAATATAATAAAATATATATTTATTAATCTAACAGTAATATGTCCAAAAGAAGTGAAGAACATGTGATGTTTAAGAATTCTAATTACTTACTAGACTCAAATTCAATTGATATGAAGAAGCAATTCAATTTTAATATATACGACCGTCAATCATCTGCAGAACGTAAATCTACTGACAGTGGATAGGGAAGATATTATAACTCATATTATTAAAGGCCATAACCTTAAAGATCTCCTAATGAATATAAGCCATTTACTAATAATTAATTGAGTAAAATACCATCTTTTTTGAATTATGATAAAGGTGATAGACCTAAACGATTTCCTTCAAACGAAATTTAATAACAAGTAAATTCATTTTAGTATCTTCCTAAATAATAATACTCTTCTATGCATGATAGAGAATAATCTTAAAAAAGAATGTTTTATTTGAATGATATTGTGTAAGTGTAAAAAAGATAATAAAGCCCAACTATTTTTTCAAAAAAATAAAGTCTTATAGATGTAGATAGAACATGGATGTATACTAATTAATAAAAGCATACTTTTTTTAGTCCAAAAAATAATGTTTAACCAAAATTATCTAAAAATGCTAGTGATTATATTTCAAATTATCGGCCATTCACATCATTGGATGTATAAAATGATAAGAATTTAAACTAAAATGCATCATAAAAACTTCATCCATATTTAAACAATAATTCAAAATTTGATATAGACAAACTGAGAATGGAATTGGAATAATACAAGATAAATAATAAAAGTAGAGTAGGAGATGGAATATCTATTTTAAAAAATAGAGAAGCGAATAAGGATTCTAATAATAAATTTATTAAAAGAGATGTTTCACCTAAATTAAACTTTAATTACATTAAACCAAAAGGTATTCATATATAACATTTATAGCTGAAGAACAGAAAAAAGATATTTTTTTTAATTATAGATAACAAAAGTAGAGTTCTCCATAAAAATAGATTTAAAGTTTAAAAGCTTCAGAATTAGGAAATCCAAAAAAATAACCATTTTAATTAATAAACCCAAAAAGTGATTAATAAGGAATTTTTTCTGATAATTAGAGATATTTATAGGATCGAAGAAAGACTCCAGAAACAAATAGGGTAGAAGAATTAAGAAAATAGTTATATAGTACTTATAAATCATCAAATAAAGATTTATTTTTTGAATCACTAAATAAGTCTACACCTTATAATAAGAGTAATATTCATAATGATTAGTAGTTGCAAATTAAAGAGAATAAAATTAGTAATCATCTATTAATAGAGAGAAAGATTAGATAAAATATAAATTAGATAAGAAATTCATCTGATATTTATTATTATTATTATTATTAAATAATGCTTCAATAATCATAACTAATCCATCATTCAGTCATTAAATATGATGATAATGATGTACCATTGATGTTTGAAGTTTTACCTTTTGAAGGGAGAGGAGACTATACTTTTGAAGAATTTCAATAACTATAAGAGCGGATAGTATCACATTAATAAATGATGGAAAATTACAAAGTAAATACTTGGGAAACTATGCATTATTATGAAATAGTCACTGTTGATAAATGTAAATCAGCATTCTTAGATAATAATGAGGAGTACCAAGGTATGATAACAATGGTAGAAATGTTTAATGCAGAAGTAACTGTTTTAAGTTCATCAGGTCTTAAATGCCTAATAAAGGAATGCTAGAATACGTAATGGAATGTGGAGACTATAGTTTTTTCGTTCTTTAGCCAATATAATAAGAGAAATATCATTCTTTACACGTAATAGAGAGTTGCAAGCTAAATTCATAACAAAGTGTTATAATTGGGCTTTAGAAACAATAACCAAAATAGATTATCAAAGTCGTAAACTCGACAGTGATTAAGGACCAACTAGACCTCCAACAGGATAAACTAAGAGACCATTTAGTAGTGTAACTTAAGCTAAAAGACCTTAAAGTGCTCTTACAATTAAAAGTATGAGACCATAATCTGGATATCCAACTACTGTGATAGATGGATATGCAGAAACAACAATTGAATAAACTCATCCAGATAGACCTGATTCTGGAGTCACTGGTACTATTCGTATTGACTAAATGGTATTTAATTATTTATATTATATTTAAGAAAGAATCTCAATATAGTAAAGGGACTTTACTTCCAGGAGATATAATTTAAGATTAATTACATGATTTTTAAAATGGATATAGAACTAAACATGATTCAATGCCTCCACCTGATTAACGTTTAACTAATTATAAAAGAAGGATCATTTAAAATTTTTAAGCACCTAGACCTTAAAGTGCAGTAGATAGTTCAGGTAAAATTAAAATGAAATCAACATTTCCAAAACCAATAAAATCAGCTAAACCTACAGCTATAGTAGAAGAGAGAGATGAAGAAGTAGTAATTTAAGGAGATTTAGTAGATAATAATGATGAAGTATTATTAAATGAAGAAGATTTGGCTGCAAGATAAGCTGAAAATGAGGCTAAATTAATTATTTAAGAAGAAGAAGCTAAAAAAAAAGAAAGGACACTTGAACCTTAAATAAAAGTTTTTTTGAATGATGAATAAGTAGAAAATAATTAGAAACCTAGAAATTTAGATTTTGAAACAAGAGATGGTTTTCAATAATATTAAAATTCTAATTAATCTGATGAATTAAATATTTAAAAGAAATATTAAAAACTTAGAAATAAAGAAGCATAATAAAAAAGAGAGGATGAAGAATTAGTTGCTATGATGCATTAATGGTCTTCAAATAAAGCTAGAGTTGAAAGAGAAATGAATAGAAGAATAGAGAGTGCAACTTATGGTAATAGATTTAGAGAATTAGAAATGAAAGAAAGACAAAATAAAGAAAAAGATTACAAAGAACTTAATAAAGTAAATTAATATACATGAATCATGTAGATCCAAAAGAATCATTAATTGAGTTTGAATAAGAACAAATCATAATGGGAAGATGATTTAAGTGATCTATCAGATGAAGAGGAAGAGATGATTTAAAATAATATAGAAATTGATGGATAAACAGGATTGATTGATGATGATGGATAAAAACGATAATAAAAAAGAATTCGACCTTAAACTTGTTAACCTAGAAATTTAAATGAAAAATTACCAAATTATTAAAAAGAACCAAAATTTATGAATAATACTGATTTTAGAGGACTTGAATCTAAAATATCAAAACATAATATCAACAAAATTAAAAAATTACATGGAAATATCATAGGATTATAAGAGGAAGATGAAGCTAATCGTCTTTAACCTGAGTAAAGTATGTCAATCTATGGAAAAAATCAATCTTTAACTTAATAATAAAAAAGACCTTTGTCTGCTATTTTGGCTGCCTAACCATTGGATTAAGTTCGTTATGATTAATTATAAGTAAAATTATTATTAAAAATATAAAGGAAATTGAAGAAATAAAATTAAGATTAGCTAAAAAAGGAGTCACTGTTCCAGTTTAAAAATTAGTTAATGCTTTATTAATTCCAGATCCAATAAATCTAAAAGATCCTGAAGGAAATACTTTACCTCCACCAGGATTTGGAATGAAAGTGGATCCATTTGCAAAAAAAAAAAAGTCAAAAAAGAAGAAGAGAAGTAAGAAATGAGTTACTATATAATTTTATTTTTCAAGATTTAATTCTTTTTTTTGAATAAAACAATTTATATTTTAATATTTTAATTGATTTATTGATTGATTAAGATAATTTAAAATAATTAATTTTTTTTACAAAGGTAGAAATGACTATTTTTATATACATATCAATTTTATGATACTTCTGATCTTCCTTTAGGAGATATTCTTAATGAAATCTAATTAGCATTAGCTTTAACATTTAGATATTTAATTGGACTACTCTTTGTTCTATCATCAACTTAATCAGATTATGTATTTCCTAATATTCTTCTTCCCTATCTTGTTTCTTCTTATGTTTCTTTATTAGGGGGATTAGATTAATAATTTTAAACTTATTGTTCTTTTGGAAATAATAGATTTGCCTTTGATGAATATTTTAATACAATTACTTGTGATTATTAAATTGATTAACTAATTTTGTCTTCTGCTAATGTTACTTTACTCTTAAATTCACTGCCAACATCTTTTTAAGATTCAGGAAGTGTTGTTTGATTATTACTTCCTAACAACTTTTTTTTAGCTAACCCATTCTTCAACCCTTCTAATTATTCTACAGCTTTTTAAAGAACAACAAGTTCAAATGTAGTAGTTTTAAGTAGACTTTGAGTTGGATGCTGATTTACTTTTTAGTTTAATATTTGAATTTGATTATTAGCATTTTAAAGCTATTATTTGAGATTCTAGTTTTCTTTCTCTAAAGTTTAAATTCTTAAGACCATATTTTCATAAGATTGTCCATTAGGAAGATTGCTAGCTTATCTATTATTAGGTCTCAAATCTCTTGAGTAATTATTATTAGTCTCACCTTCATATTTTTATTTGGGTTAATTATGTGTGGGTGTAAAATGTTGAGGAGAAGCAACTCTTTAAAGAGGTGAATTGGAAGCGTTTCTCTAAGGTTATTGATATGTTTAAGGTATAACTTATTAAGAATAATGTTGCTACATTTAATAAAAATATTAACAGTCAGATTTTTAAGATTTTTATTGAGAAATAGGATATTTTCTTAAAGATAGAATATATTCTAATCGAGTTTATCAAAACACTTTTGATAAGCTCTATTAATTAAAAAAGAGTTAAGATTATTTTATTATTATATATATTTATTAAATTGCTTACCATGCAAGAATTTTAGTATGTGAGTTTAAAAATTCGAAAAAGGAACTCTTGATACGCTTATTTGGTTATCGATGAAAATGATGGGTAGATGTTAAATTATAAAAAGCATCAATATTTTGATTACTATTTATATGCAAATAAATAGCTTTGTAAGTTATTCTATATGAATTTTTTCTTGGTGCACTTAAATTTATGATTGGCTTTGACATAATTGTTACCTTAAATAGCTTAGTAAAAAATCAGAGTAAATATTCAATGTTGGCTATCTACATGGCAGAATTCCTTCTAATACACTATCATTTATTTTTGATTGGCAAGGAATGATAATTGGATTTTTATATGGTTTACTATATTAATTTATAAATAAATGCTAACAATATAATAATGATAATGAACAAACAATTAATGAAAAACAGCTGAAGTTTTTTATTAATAGGAAATACTTTAACTTTAGCTGCATTTGATTAATGGAACAATAATAAAAAATTGAAATTGTAAACTAATCCTTAATTAATATAAATTTATTAAGGATTATTATTATTTTGGCAATAGTAGAATCATTCATTCGANTACTCTTAAATTCACTGCCAACATCTTTTTAAGATTCAGGAAGTGTTGTTTGATTATTACTTCCTAACAACTTTTTTTTAGCTAACCCATTCTTCAACCCTTCTAATTATTCTACAGCTTTTTAAAGAACAACAAGTTCAAATGTAGTAGTTTTAAGTAGACTTTGAGTTGGATGCTGATTTACTTTTTAGTTTAATATTTGAATTTGATTATTAGCATTTTAAAGCTATTATTTGAGATTCTAGTTTTCTTTCTCTAAAGTTTAAATTCTTAAGACCATATTTTCATAAGATTGTCCATTAGGAAGATTGCTAGCTTATCTATTATTAGGTCTCAAATCTCTTGAGTAATTATTATTAGTCTCACCTTCATATTTTTATTTGGGTTAATTATGTGTGGGTGTAAAATGTTGAGGAGAAGCAACTCTTTAAAGAGGTGAATTGGAAGCGTTTCTCTAAGGTTATTGATATGTTTAAGGTATAACTTATTAAGAATAATGTTGCTACATTTAATAAAAATATTAACAGTCAGATTTTTAAGATTTTTATTGAGAAATAGGATATTTTCTTAAAGATAGAATATATTCTAATCGAGTTTATCAAAACACTTTTGATAAGCTCTATTAATTAAAAAAGAGTTAAGATTATTTTATTATTATATATATTTATTAAATTGCTTACCATGCAAGAATTTTAGTATGTGAGTTTAAAAATTCGAAAAAGGAACTCTTGATACGCTTATTTGGTTATCGATGAAAATGATGGGTAGATGTTAAATTATAAAAAGCATCAATATTTTGATTACTATTTATATGCAAATAAATAGCTTTGTAAGTTATTCTATATGAATTTTTTCTTGGTGCACTTAAATTTATGATTGGCTTTGACATAATTGTTACCTTAAATAGCTTAGTAAAAAATCAGAGTAAATATTCAATGTTGGCTATCTACATGGCAGAATTCCTTCTAATACACTATCATTTATTTTTGATTGGCAAGGAATGATAATTGGATTTTTATATGGTTTACTATATTAATTTATAAATAAATGCTAACAATATAATAATGATAATGAACAAACAATTAATGAAAAACAGCTGAAGTTTTTTATTAATAGGAAATACTTTAACTTTAGCTGCATTTGATTAATGGAACAATAATAAAAAATTGAAATTGTAAACTAATCCTTAATTAATATAAATTTATTAAGGATTATTATTATTTTGGCAATAGTAGAATCATTCATTCGATAATTCTAGTTTAATTCTTGTAAATTATTATTTTATTTTAGGAAAATTGCTGATATTTTTAAATAGTACAATCAGCAATTACAATTTCAGAATAGTAAAAGAATGTTTAGTCTTTATATGGAATTAACTTTGTTTTTAAAATCAATAGATTGGATTTTTCATTATACCAGACCCTTTATGAGAATATTTACATTTAGGATACAACTTATTTTTAATCAGAATATGTCAAATTATAGTAAATTTAGATATGCATTTAGTAAATAGAAAGAAAGCAGAATGAGAAAAATAATAATTGTTTTGATTTATGAAATGCAAAGGAAAATACTTCAGTTTACTTAATTATATTATGCAGATGGTTAAGGCATTGTGGCTTTTGGTTTATCTTCTTTGCATCTATTGCATTTATCTCTTCTGGCGTAATTAAAATTACCACAAATATTACATTTCCAATCATCTGGGTTAGGGACATATTTCTTGCCTTTGTCATCCTAAGAAAAGAAGTTAGAGAGTTAATGAATACTTTTACAGCCTATTCTCTACTTTTCTTACATCTATTACACTCTGTACGATGAGGGAAATTGATATTATAACAATACTTGCACTTCCAATTATCCTCATTATGTAAAAAGGATAAAGGTTTTTTCTTTTTTCTATAAAGAGATTTAGATATATAAAATAATCATACTTACTACGGCTCTTGCTACTGCTACTACTAGAATCACTACTACTAGAAGAAGAACTACTACTACTGGCTTTTAATAATTAAGATAAATAAAACCTCTCTTTCTCTTTTTCTTTTTATCTTTCTTAGATTTGTCAGACTTATTTTTCTTCTTTTTTTTTGCTCCCTAATCTGATCATACAAAATACAAAATTCAAATACCACTCAAACTAATACTATTACTACTTAAACTATCAACAGGAGTAGGTTGTTGAGGAGGAATATTATATTAGGGCACTGAACTTACAAATAACTTTATTACTTTGTGGCTATACATAATAACCATATCCATTATAATTCAATGATGGGAATTGTTATTATTCAAATCCATATATTTATTGTTGTTGAGCATAGTAAACCTACTGAAACAATGGTACTTATGGCTACCCTTACGGACCTTAACTATCAAAAGGAAACTTTTAAGGATGATTTTGATAACTCATTAATATTAATAAATGTATGTCTAAAATAATCCCCATAAAATCCACTAAAATCGATCTCTATCCTTTACTGAAAACCAATCCAAATTTAATAATAATTAACTTAATCAATTCATAAAGGAATAATTGTTTGAATTAAAAAGAAAAAGAAAACTTCCATCCTTAATTTAATAAGAATCTGATTATCTTATGGATGAGATAAATAAAATAAATAATATTTATAAGATTCCTATTATTAAAACCTAACATGCAATACCAAAGATCAGTTAATTATAAAATTCCAAATAGAATTCTGTCAATAAGTTAAAACCTTCAATTATACTCTCAGAAAATAGACCTTATAGACTACGCACATATTTAAAATAAACATAACCAATTATTAAAATAAACAATATCATCATCAAAAATGAAGACCCATGTTAATATTGATTTTATTTTTAATCTAAATTCAAAAATATATTTATTATTAATGTTCCAAGGTCATGAACCTAATGCATTTTTAAGAAAACATTAGGGATCAAACGCTTGAATGCTTTTTGTTATTTCCTTCTAGTTGCGATTAAAGTGGAATTTAATCTAATTTAATCTTTGATCAAAGAAGGTATAAATAATTATACTTTTTTATATATTAATTTAATAATTTAAATAAGAACTTATATTATGGGAATAAGTAAGGCAATCAATAAATTCTGTATTTTTTTATCAAATTTTATTTTTTCCCCCAATAAATCAAATTTATTATACCAAAAATTATTAAGAATGGTCCTACACAAAGACATGGTAATGTTATCACTAAAATTGGATCTGAAAATTATCCATTATTGTGTAAAAGAACATATTTTTTAGTTTCTGTAAATGCGTCATTAGTTTCTAATTATTGATGTATATAAAACTTACTAATTTGTATATTAACTGTGTATGTTCCAGCTTCTAAATCTTAATCGATTCTTCCCCATAATTTCCTGAACCTACTTAATGGAGATGGCCTCATCCAATTTATAAATCTTTCTAATTTAAATGAAAATAATCACCTGATTCCATATCAATCCATTATTTGTCTAAGTTTATATTTGTAAACTTTTCTCTATCAGATTCCCATGATATACCTTTATCTGTGATTAAAATTTATTTCCCATCTTTTATCAAAAAGAATTCATCTTAAAAATAATAAATCTTACAGTCTTACCATTCATATAAGAATAAGCAGCAATACCACATGGTATAGCAATATCATCTTATGATAAGGCTTTTCCTGTTACACTTAAGATTTTACCCATTTCCATATTAGTTTTATATTGATCACAAATTGAAGTGTCGAAATCGGAGTCTCCATACAATTAATCATAAGGGATGCTATTAAAATATTTATCAGTGTTTTAGAAAAAGGACGAAACTTCGTATGAAAAAAATACAGGAGATTTCATCTTTTATGGTACATCAATATTAATCTAAGGTTATTTTTAACATAAAATTACAGAACATTAATTCTTCAGGGTGCAAATTTCATCATATCTAGTAGATATATATTCATAATCTATATCAACTGTTTGTGATACAATTCCAAATGCAATCAATACCAATCCTTTTTTATTTTCATAATCATACCCATTAAGATAAGCAATATTGGATTCAACTTTACGTATTTTAATTTCCATTCTTATAATTATTTGGATTATTCAGGATTCATATGCAACTTTTATGTTATTGGAAATTTTAATTATTTTTATGCAAAAGTAAACTTTCAATTTCAAAATGTTTTTTTATCAAAACCATTTCATTTGAGAACAAATGAAAGCAATATCAAATCTACTTATATATTTTAGAATATTAACTAAGTTAAATTGCTCTAATGAATTTAGTTTGAAAATTTTAAATTATTAAATTATTTGTATGAAGAAAGTATAACATTCAGAAGGCATGATTGATGCTATCTATTATTTGTAGAAATGTCAATTGATTATGAAACATTTCAATACCTAAAACCCAGATGTTATCGAGTGGTTATTTCAATTAGATGAAACCCAAAAGTAATTTGAGTAAAATTAATGTCATCATCCCTTGTTGGAACAGTGTGCATAATTTATAAATCATAAAATTATCCATCCTTTTCTTTTATGTTTAGAATAAGTTTTGTAATTTAAAAATTTTGAATAAGAATTACAAAAACACAAATTAGAGATTGATTATGTAATACGAAGACTTTAAATAGTATTGCATTATTTTAATAAATTAGATAAGAGAATTTATGCCTAATATCTCAAAAGTTCCATTGGATGATATCTATTGTTTAAGCAATACCCATTAAGAATGGGCTCATTTAGCTAAGTATATTCAGTTTATTGATGTAATTTGAAAAACAAATATAGCTTGATGACCCAGAGATCTTAGATTTGCAATTTGAAAAGTTTAACGATTACATTTCAGTAGGCTGTGCATATGCAAAATTAGGAAATATGATTAAACTACCTGTTTTTAGTATGATCTTCTAAAATTTGGGAGGTGCCTTCCTTATAACAAATATTGAGAAGGCAAGATAAATTAAACTAAAAGAAATGACAAACCCTTCTGTCAAATTCATTTAAAATTTATGGAGTATTTAAGATAAGGCACCAGTTTTAAAGAATTTTATGAAATACTCGATGACTAAAATATAATCTCATCACAAAATATATGTTCCTTATTTATTCAAACCAACATTTACTTTGGAAAGAATAAATCAAGAAATTGAAAGTGGAACATTATTTTAGTAAGAAGAATTTAAAGGGTTTGATTTAATAGATGAAAATTTATATGAAAAATTGATATAATCTCTCTTTCGAAAGGATAGATAAAATAAAATAAAAGTTAGAGTGTTATCAGCAAATAAGGAAGTATTTAGATCAAAAATTGATGAAGAGCTAATAGTAAAATAAATAGCCAACATCAGCAAAGATCATAATAATATTTTTGAAGGAACATCCCCTGGATTGGATGGCAAAATTAAGAAAGTGATATTATAAATCCATGGAGGAGGATGGGTTGGGATGTCATCATTTAGCCATCAAACATATACTAGAAAATGGGCTAATCATATTGGGGAAGATTGTGTAATTTTTAGTATTGATTATCGACTTGCTCCTAAATACCCTTATCCATATGCCCTTGAGGATGTATGGTAATTATATCTCTGGATTGTAATTCTTCTTAAGTATATTAGCTCTATTTTAGCAAATTTTATATGAATATAAATTTGGAGTAATTAATTCTTGCTGGTGATTCTGCAGGTGGTAACATGGCCCTTGGTATTTGTTTTCGTGCCATTAAAATGGGTATCAAAGTACCAGATGGATTATTTTTACCTTATCCTGTTGTAAATCTAAACTTCAAAGTCTTTAATCCATATTTACTCAATGGATTGATTGATCAAATAGCTCCTACAACAATTTTGGTTGTAGTTTTAAGAGAATATTTAAATAGTGGAAAAGAACATCCAGATACTGATCCTTATCTTAGTCCTATAATAGCTGATGATTCTTTCTTAACTAAGTATTTAATTTATTCATTTCTGAGATTGCCTAAGATGCGCATTATTTGTGGGGCTAAAGATAGTTTAACAGGAGATACAATAAGATTTGTTAATAAAATGAGAAAATTGCATCATGATATTAAATTGGATATTTTTAATTGTTTATCACATGGATTTATGAATTTTGAGGTTCCAATAGTTGGAGTTACTCATATAGGTTCAGTGATCAATATAAGTTGTAAAATGGTTTAAGAATTATTTAAATCAAGTGAAGTATAATGATTATACAGATAGATAGATAGATAGATATATATATATAAAAATATCATTTAAAATATCTTTCATCATAGATGCAATCGTCTATTTTTTCAGGAGTGATATGAAAAGATCTTACTTTTTATACAGTTGATCTATTCTATTATGTTTATTTTTTTTGAGTTGGCACTTTTTGAGGAGACTGAATATTAAGATTTACTTGCTATAACTTTGGTTTACTAATTGAAACCTTTTGATTTTGAGCTTTTAGAAATGGACTTTTTGATTATTTATTAGAGAAACAATTATTTTTTTATTTATCAGCTTTAGTTGAATTATTCCATTTTGATTGTTATTTTGGTATAATTGCTGAATTTCTTCTAAAATTGGTTTAAGAAGAACATTTTTATTATTTAATAGATTATGCAGAAGAGATTGAAAGAAAATCTTATTAGGTTGACTTGTTTAAATGTTAATGGAAAACTGATTGTTCTAATGATTCCATCTTTATATAATTTTAGAATTTATTTGAATTTGTACTTTTGTCAATGGAAGTAAACAATTATTGCAAATTCTGCATTAAAATTTATTTGTTTTCTTCAGGAGAAGGCAATATTCTTTTTGTTATACCTGTAAAAATAAGGGAATTCTCATCTTATTCAGACATAAATATCTCAACGCTCACCTTATCACTTTCAATTTTATCAATCATTTTCATTTGCTTTCTTAATTATGGTTTCTGAAACACTTCCATTTTAGGTGGAGATTCAAAAGGTTTCTCTTCTACTTATATTTCCTTATCTTCCTTTAAACTCATATATTATTATGGATTGAAGGAATGCTAATAATGATCTAAAGTTTCTTCTCCTTTTGCATAATAACATTTCAACTTTTGTTCAGGACTCTCTTCAAGTGATCTTGTAGGTTTCAATAATTATTAAATATCCATCTATCCCAAAGTCATATAATTCCGCTTATCAACTGATGATTTATGACTCTTTCTAAAAGAGCAATCAGGTAAACCTGGAGAATTTACTCTTCTATACTATATTTTAGGTGATTATTCAAGGAGATATGATTGCGTTGTTTCAAATCTACAAGGAGTAGCAGTCTTTTGTTAGCAAACTGTATTCATTTTTTAACGTAATTTAATTATGAGAATATATAGATATTAAACTTATGGTTTTGACTTTAAATAACATTTATTAAGACTAAAGACTTTCTTTTAAATATTATAATGGTATCATTAGATTTTTTGAACGGTATGTCAATTATAAAATTTGTTTAAAAAAACTAAAAATAAGAGTTATATTTTTTTATATGATGATAACAATTTTGGTGGATATTCAACACACATATAAGTTGCTGAAAGAATGGTTTTTAGAATTCCAGATGGTAATATAAAATATATATGATTGTTTAGGATTTAATGATGCATTAGGTTCTCCTTTATTGTGTGCTGGTATAACTGTTTATGCTCCATTAAAAAGATATTATAAACCTAATTTTTCATGTGCTGTTATAGGTATTGGTGGATTAGGACATTTGGCTGTTTAATATGCATCAAAATTAGGAATGACTGTCACTGCTTTTACAACTAGCAAAAATAGAGAATAAGAAATTAAAAGATTAGGTGCTTCAAATTTGTCCAGTTCTATTAATGTAGAGAGTTTGAAAACTGAATAAGGAAAATATGATATTGTTATTAATACTCTTTACATTGAAGATGAAGAAGTTTTCAAAAGCCATTAAAGATTAACAGCCCCAACAGGTACATATATCTAAGTTGGAGCTCCTCCTTCAAAGGTTAATTTCAAATTAGATCATGCTTATATCATTTTAAATTAAATTAGAGTTGCTGGTTCATTAATTGGTAATTATGATGAAACATAAGTATTATAATTTTAAAATATCTTAGGAAATGCTTGAATTTTCTGCTTAAAATAATGTTTATCCAATTGTGGAGACATTTGAATTTGAAGATTTCCCAAAAGCTTTTGATAGAATGGAAAAAGCATAAGCCAAATTCAGATGTGTTGTTAATGTTGGAAAATGGGCTTAAGCTAATGGTTTATGGAAATGAGGTTAAATCAAATTATATAAATAAATATCCAAATTACATATATTTATTATTCAATGATGTCTAGATTCAGATAATTCTATATATATCCATCATAGCAATTGTCAAACAATTANAGTGATCTTGTAGGTTTCAATAATTATTAAATATCCATCTATCCCAAAGTCATATAATTCCGCTTATCAACTGATGATTTATGACTCTTTCTAAAAGAGCAATCAGGTAAACCTGGAGAATTTACTCTTCTATACTATATTTTAGGTGATTATTCAAGGAGATATGATTGCGTTGTTTCAAATCTACAAGGAGTAGCAGTCTTTTGTTAGCAAACTGTATTCATTTTTTAACGTAATTTAATTATGAGAATATATAGATATTAAACTTATGGTTTTGACTTTAAATAACATTTATTAAGACTAAAGACTTTCTTTTAAATATTATAATGGTATCATTAGATTTTTTGAACGGTATGTCAATTATAAAATTTGTTTAAAAAAACTAAAAATAAGAGTTATATTTTTTTATATGATGATAACAATTTTGGTGGATATTCAACACACATATAAGTTGCTGAAAGAATGGTTTTTAGAATTCCAGATGGTAATATAAAATATATATGATTGTTTAGGATTTAATGATGCATTAGGTTCTCCTTTATTGTGTGCTGGTATAACTGTTTATGCTCCATTAAAAAGATATTATAAACCTAATTTTTCATGTGCTGTTATAGGTATTGGTGGATTAGGACATTTGGCTGTTTAATATGCATCAAAATTAGGAATGACTGTCACTGCTTTTACAACTAGCAAAAATAGAGAATAAGAAATTAAAAGATTAGGTGCTTCAAATTTGTCCAGTTCTATTAATGTAGAGAGTTTGAAAACTGAATAAGGAAAATATGATATTGTTATTAATACTCTTTACATTGAAGATGAAGAAGTTTTCAAAAGCCATTAAAGATTAACAGCCCCAACAGGTACATATATCTAAGTTGGAGCTCCTCCTTCAAAGGTTAATTTCAAATTAGATCATGCTTATATCATTTTAAATTAAATTAGAGTTGCTGGTTCATTAATTGGTAATTATGATGAAACATAAGTATTATAATTTTAAAATATCTTAGGAAATGCTTGAATTTTCTGCTTAAAATAATGTTTATCCAATTGTGGAGACATTTGAATTTGAAGATTTCCCAAAAGCTTTTGATAGAATGGAAAAAGCATAAGCCAAATTCAGATGTGTTGTTAATGTTGGAAAATGGGCTTAAGCTAATGGTTTATGGAAATGAGGTTAAATCAAATTATATAAATAAATATCCAAATTACATATATTTATTATTCAATGATGTCTAGATTCAGATAATTCTATATATATCCATCATAGCAATTGTCAAACAATTACGATAAAGATAAAGATAGAGAGAGAGAACGAGAGAGAGAAAGAGGCAGAGAGAGAGAAAAGGAAAGAGAAAGAGAAAGAGAAAGAGAGAGAGAAAGAGAGAGAGAAAGAGAAAGAGAAAGAGAGAGAGAAAGAGAGAGAGAAAGAGAAAGAGAAAGAGAAAGAGAGAGAGAAAGAGAAAAAGAGAGAGAAAAGGAAAGAGAAAGAGAGAGAGAAAGAGAGAGAGAAAGAGAAAGATAATGGAAGAAATAACAACAGCAATATAAAAGAGAAGAAGCACACTTAAAAAAGATTGATAGAAAAAAAGAAAAGAAATATCCTTTATCAAGAAGATCAATAATTCTAGTAAAATTAGAGATTTATTAGAATAGAAAAGAAGAAAAATTAGGAGAGAAAGCGCTTCAAGTTAATCATTTAATTCTTCATCCTCTTCATCTTCTAGTAGAAGTTCTAGTAGCAGAAGTAGCATTAGATCTTCTTCCTCTTCACAATCAGATGATAAAAAATAAACAAACTAAAAATAGAAAAATATGTGCTTAAGTAGTTCTTCAAGAGACTCTTCACAATCAGATTATCAACAATAAAAAAACTAAAACTAGAAAAAGATATCCTCAACTAGTTCTTCAAGAGACTTTTTACAATCTAACTATAAAAAATAAACAAATTAAAATTAGAAAAAGACATCTTCAAGTAGTTCTTCAAGTGATTCTGATAGTTCATCATGATTATTATATTTTAGTGTTAAAATAAAGAAAAATTAAATCACATAATATTGCAACAAGAAGCATTTAAATTACTGGAATTGGTTACATATATTGAAATAACATCCTATCTTTCTTAATAAAGTGATTGAACTAATGCAGATTCTTTTTATCTAACTCTTTGAGAATTAAGAATATCAAAATCTTCTAAAGCTAGATTTGTGAATTAAAGTGTAATTAATATCTAAATAATTATGATATAATCTTACTTTCAATTCTTCTATATTACTATTTGGAGAAATATCAATTTAAAATGGTTTAATATTAATGGTGTTGTTTCTAAAATTATGATCAAAAGTTCCATAAATTATCATTTTTATTATTATTTCTAACAAATAAATTAAAATTAGTAATTTCAAACAAATTAATCTGATGAATTATGAATAGTTAATATATATCAAATATATCATATATATAATTTATTCTTTTTAGATTAATAAGAATACTAGATGTAATTTAGAAATAATATTAAACACATCTGTTTTATAAATAGTTAAATATTCATCTTATTTTTTAAATGCATTTTTCTATTTAATCAAAATGCTTTTAATTTATAGAGTTCATCTAAATATCATATAGTTAAAGAGTATAATTATAAAATAAATAAACAACATAATTAGATAGAGAGTAATATATATATATATATATGTTTCTAATAAAGTAGTGTAAATTTTATTTTAAGATAATGAATATAGAAAAGTATACAATTTGGTTATTCTTTTGATGATTACTTTCATTGTATTGTTCAATATATTAGTAATTATTTTTATTTAAAGAATCTATTATATAAAATTTTTGTTTTAATTTTTTAATGAAACCATCCACTTTTAAAATTGTTTTAGTTGGTATTAATTTTGTTAATCAAAAGGTGATCCCAGAGTTGGAAAGTCAAATACTCTTACTAGGTTTGCATTTGATAAATTTGAAGAAGGGCACAAAATAACTATTGGAGTAAAACAAAATCTGATTTTTAGGTGGAATTTGCATAGAAAAATATAAACATTTTGGGGAAAGAAATTAAATTAGCAATTTGGGATACTTGTGGAGCAGTAAGATTCAAATCTATATAAAGGAATAATACAGGGCTTTAACCAATATTTATTATAAAGGAGCCGCAGGAGCATTATTAATATTTGATATCACAGATAGAAGTTCATTTGAAAATTTAGATAAATGGCTTAAGGTTGAGATTCATGTAAATTTATTAGGATATTGAATCAAATACTTAATCAATAATAATAATGCTTGTTGCAAATAAAATAGATCTTTAAGATCAAAGAAAAGTTAGTAAACAAGAAGCTGCTTAGTTTGCATTTGAGCATAAATTAGCATATTTGGAAACTAGTGCTAAGGATGGAACTGGTATATAATAAGCATTTGAATAATTGGCAACTGGTAATGAAATTTTTATGATCATATATGTTTAGAAATCGTAAAATTATCATAATCATCTGAAACAGTTGAAAAGAATAACATAAAATTAACAGAATCCACTATTCCAAAATTAGAATAGGAGAAATAAAAGAAATGTTGTTGATATGCTAACTCTATTGGATATATAATTTAAACATAAATATTATTTTTGTTTTAGATTTTTTAAAGCTTTTGAAACTCTCTTAATTTCTTTTAGACTTATGCAATAATAGGTTTTATACTATAGTTTTACTGGAAATAACATATCTTTATTATTAAATAAATTAAAGTATAATTGTTTGACAATTGCTATGATGGATATATATAGAATTATCTGAATCTAGACATCATTGAATAATAAATATATGTAATTTGGATATTTATTTATATAATTTGATTTAACCTCATTTCCATAAACCATTAGCTTAAGCCCATTTTCCAACATTAACAACACATCTGAATTTGGCTTATGCTTTTTCCATTCTATCAAAAGCTTTTGGGAAATCTTCAAATTCAAATGTCTCCACAATTGGATAAACATTATTTTAAGCAGAAAATTCAAGCATTTCCTAAGATATTTTAAAATTATAATACTTATGTTTCATCATAATTACCAATTAATGAACCAGCAACTCTAATTTAATTTAAAATGATATAAGCATGATCTAATTTGAAATTAACCTTTGAAGGAGGAGCTCCAACTTAGATATATGTACCTGTTGGGGCTGTTAATCTTTAATGGCTTTTGAAAACTTCTTCATCTTCAATGTAAAGAGTATTAATAACAATATCATATTTTCCTTATTCAGTTTTCAAACTCTCTACATTAATAGAACTGGACAAATTTGAAGCACCTAATCTTTTAATTTCTTATTCTCTATTTTTGCTAGTTGTAAAAGCAGTGACAGTCATTCCTAATTTTGATGCATATTAAACAGCCAAATGTCCTAATCCACCAATACCTATAACAGCACATGAAAAATTAGGTTTATAATATCTTTTTAATGGAGCATAAACAGTTATACCAGCACACAATAAAGGAGAACCTAATGCATCATTAAATCCTAAACAATCATATATATTTTATATTACCATCTGGAATTCTAAAAACCATTCTTTCAGCAACTTATATGTGTGTTGAATATCCACCAAAATTGTTATCATCATATAAAAANTAATATTAAACACATCTGTTTTATAAATAGTTAAATATTCATCTTATTTTTTAAATGCATTTTTCTATTTAATCAAAATGCTTTTAATTTATAGAGTTCATCTAAATATCATATAGTTAAAGAGTATAATTATAAAATAAATAAACAACATAATTAGATAGAGAGTAATATATATATATATATATGTTTCTAATAAAGTAGTGTAAATTTTATTTTAAGATAATGAATATAGAAAAGTATACAATTTGGTTATTCTTTTGATGATTACTTTCATTGTATTGTTCAATATATTAGTAATTATTTTTATTTAAAGAATCTATTATATAAAATTTTTGTTTTAATTTTTTAATGAAACCATCCACTTTTAAAATTGTTTTAGTTGGTATTAATTTTGTTAATCAAAAGGTGATCCCAGAGTTGGAAAGTCAAATACTCTTACTAGGTTTGCATTTGATAAATTTGAAGAAGGGCACAAAATAACTATTGGAGTAAAACAAAATCTGATTTTTAGGTGGAATTTGCATAGAAAAATATAAACATTTTGGGGAAAGAAATTAAATTAGCAATTTGGGATACTTGTGGAGCAGTAAGATTCAAATCTATATAAAGGAATAATACAGGGCTTTAACCAATATTTATTATAAAGGAGCCGCAGGAGCATTATTAATATTTGATATCACAGATAGAAGTTCATTTGAAAATTTAGATAAATGGCTTAAGGTTGAGATTCATGTAAATTTATTAGGATATTGAATCAAATACTTAATCAATAATAATAATGCTTGTTGCAAATAAAATAGATCTTTAAGATCAAAGAAAAGTTAGTAAACAAGAAGCTGCTTAGTTTGCATTTGAGCATAAATTAGCATATTTGGAAACTAGTGCTAAGGATGGAACTGGTATATAATAAGCATTTGAATAATTGGCAACTGGTAATGAAATTTTTATGATCATATATGTTTAGAAATCGTAAAATTATCATAATCATCTGAAACAGTTGAAAAGAATAACATAAAATTAACAGAATCCACTATTCCAAAATTAGAATAGGAGAAATAAAAGAAATGTTGTTGATATGCTAACTCTATTGGATATATAATTTAAACATAAATATTATTTTTGTTTTAGATTTTTTAAAGCTTTTGAAACTCTCTTAATTTCTTTTAGACTTATGCAATAATAGGTTTTATACTATAGTTTTACTGGAAATAACATATCTTTATTATTAAATAAATTAAAGTATAATTGTTTGACAATTGCTATGATGGATATATATAGAATTATCTGAATCTAGACATCATTGAATAATAAATATATGTAATTTGGATATTTATTTATATAATTTGATTTAACCTCATTTCCATAAACCATTAGCTTAAGCCCATTTTCCAACATTAACAACACATCTGAATTTGGCTTATGCTTTTTCCATTCTATCAAAAGCTTTTGGGAAATCTTCAAATTCAAATGTCTCCACAATTGGATAAACATTATTTTAAGCAGAAAATTCAAGCATTTCCTAAGATATTTTAAAATTATAATACTTATGTTTCATCATAATTACCAATTAATGAACCAGCAACTCTAATTTAATTTAAAATGATATAAGCATGATCTAATTTGAAATTAACCTTTGAAGGAGGAGCTCCAACTTAGATATATGTACCTGTTGGGGCTGTTAATCTTTAATGGCTTTTGAAAACTTCTTCATCTTCAATGTAAAGAGTATTAATAACAATATCATATTTTCCTTATTCAGTTTTCAAACTCTCTACATTAATAGAACTGGACAAATTTGAAGCACCTAATCTTTTAATTTCTTATTCTCTATTTTTGCTAGTTGTAAAAGCAGTGACAGTCATTCCTAATTTTGATGCATATTAAACAGCCAAATGTCCTAATCCACCAATACCTATAACAGCACATGAAAAATTAGGTTTATAATATCTTTTTAATGGAGCATAAACAGTTATACCAGCACACAATAAAGGAGAACCTAATGCATCATTAAATCCTAAACAATCATATATATTTTATATTACCATCTGGAATTCTAAAAACCATTCTTTCAGCAACTTATATGTGTGTTGAATATCCACCAAAATTGTTATCATCATATAAAAAAATNTATTTGGAAACTAGTGCTAAGGATGGAACTGGTATATAATAAGCATTTGAATAATTGGCAACTGGTAATGAAATTTTTATGATCATATATGTTTAGAAATCGTAAAATTATCATAATCATCTGAAACAGTTGAAAAGAATAACATAAAATTAACAGAATCCACTATTCCAAAATTAGAATAGGAGAAATAAAAGAAATGTTGTTGATATGCTAACTCTATTGGATATATAATTTAAACATAAATATTATTTTTGTTTTAGATTTTTTAAAGCTTTTGAAACTCTCTTAATTTCTTTTAGACTTATGCAATAATAGGTTTTATACTATAGTTTTACTGGAAATAACATATCTTTATTATTAAATAAATTAAAGTATAATTGTTTGACAATTGCTATGATGGATATATATAGAATTATCTGAATCTAGACATCATTGAATAATAAATATATGTAATTTGGATATTTATTTATATAATTTGATTTAACCTCATTTCCATAAACCATTAGCTTAAGCCCATTTTCCAACATTAACAACACATCTGAATTTGGCTTATGCTTTTTCCATTCTATCAAAAGCTTTTGGGAAATCTTCAAATTCAAATGTCTCCACAATTGGATAAACATTATTTTAAGCAGAAAATTCAAGCATTTCCTAAGATATTTTAAAATTATAATACTTATGTTTCATCATAATTACCAATTAATGAACCAGCAACTCTAATTTAATTTAAAATGATATAAGCATGATCTAATTTGAAATTAACCTTTGAAGGAGGAGCTCCAACTTAGATATATGTACCTGTTGGGGCTGTTAATCTTTAATGGCTTTTGAAAACTTCTTCATCTTCAATGTAAAGAGTATTAATAACAATATCATATTTTCCTTATTCAGTTTTCAAACTCTCTACATTAATAGAACTGGACAAATTTGAAGCACCTAATCTTTTAATTTCTTATTCTCTATTTTTGCTAGTTGTAAAAGCAGTGACAGTCATTCCTAATTTTGATGCATATTAAACAGCCAAATGTCCTAATCCACCAATACCTATAACAGCACATGAAAAATTAGGTTTATAATATCTTTTTAATGGAGCATAAACAGTTATACCAGCACACAATAAAGGAGAACCTAATGCATCATTAAATCCTAAACAATCATATATATTTTATATTACCATCTGGAATTCTAAAAACCATTCTTTCAGCAACTTATATGTGTGTTGAATATCCACCAAAATTGTTATCATCATATAAAAAGATTCCTTTTGAACATAATTAATTATCTCCTTTCTTACACAAATCACAGGTTTAACACATCCATCTTTAAGGATTGCATCCAACTTTATCACCTACTTTGAATTTTGTGACACCTGTTCCAACTTTTTCGACTAATCCTACGACTTCATGTCCTGGGCAACTGGGGTATTTACTAGAGTATATTACATATATATACATATTGGGATCCCATAATCCTCTAGAATGAAGACAATCACTATGACATAATCCAGTATATAAAATTCTAATTCTGACATCGTCGTCTGCAATATTTGGGTATTTGTATGGATATTATACAGGCTCACCAGTGTTTTATAAAAATGCATAAGCAACAGCATCTGCTGTTTCCTTACTTTCTTATACTAAGTAAACCGAATGAGCTGGTAATTGTTGCATAATTAAGAGATATTTATTTATGGAGAAAAAGATGATTCCTCACATTTATAAAGACTTTTCCATCCTTAGTTCATGAATCACTTTATTTTATTAGGATTTTAGAACATCTTAAATCATTTATTAATTAATCATTTACTAAATTGTAAATAAGATATTAATAATTATATAGAAACACATAAGGAATCATAATACTCACAATCCATTTTCATAAAATATTCTTTATAATTTCTTTTTAAATTACACTAAATTCAAATAAGTCCAAAAGAAATTAAAAACACTTATTATAATGTTTGAGGGTTTTGTTAAGTGTTTACATAAATCTTTAAATTCTTTCAAATTTAAAAGAGTATACATTCATTCTATGATTGAAATATAAGGGAGTGTATAGAAATACTGTTTCTAATTTATTCTATGAAATGAATGTGAAAATCACAAATCAATGTTATTAATAATAATAGATGTTTTAAATTAATTATTGATTAAAATTATTGTATTAATATTAATTATTATTATGCCTAAATCTCATTCATCATCTTCATCGGGGTCATCCTCTTCAAGTGAAGAGAAGAAGAGAGTTAAAGATATTAATTAAAAGAAATCAAAAAGTTAAAAGTCTAGGGAAAGATCAAAAGAAAAATCAAAGGAAAGAAAAACTAAAGAAAAAACTAAAGAAAAGAAAGTTAAGAATCTTCTTCTTGTTTAGAATATTTCAAGAAATGTCACTTAAGATATTCTACATGAAATTTTTTCAACCTATGGAAAGCTAACTAATGTAGAAATGCAGTTTGACGAATAAAATAATATGCTTCCTCTTCTTTTTGCTTTTATTACGTATAATGATGAAGGTGATGCTTCCTAAGCCACTTAATATATGCACAGAGCAATTATTGATGGAAAAAAGATAAAATGTTAAAGTCTAGGATTGGATAGATAAAAGTAATGTTATAATTAACGTAGATATTATACAGAGAAAATTAAAAAAGAAAGATTAGATAAACTTAGATAAAGAGAAATAAAAAAGGAAAGAGATTTAAGATAAAAGGAAGAACATGCGAGAGCTAGAAATAAAGAAGATAAATAAAAAAATGAAAATAAGGAGCTTGATAAAGATAAGGAGAAAGATAAAGATAAAGAAAAGGATGTTTAAAAAAAAGATTAAGAATTATAACCAGAATAATAAAAATTAAAAGAAAAAGATAAAGATAAAGAAAGAGAAAAAGAAAAAGAAAAAGAAAGAAAAGAAAAAGAAAGGGAAAAGGAAAGAGAAAAGGAAAGGGAAAGAGAAAAGGAAAGGGAAAGAGAGAGAGAAAAAGAGAGAGAGAGAGAAAGAGAAAAAGAAAAAGAGAGAGAAAGAGAAAGAGAAAGAGAAAAAGAAAGAGAGAAAGAAAAGGAAAGAGAAAGAGAGAGGGAAAGATAAAGGGAGAAATAAAAGCAGAGAGAAAAAAGAGAAAAGGAGAAGCAAGAAAGGATTGAACGAGAAAAAAAGAAGAAATAACATTCATCAAGAAGAAGATCCTCTGATAGATATCATAAAAGATCAAGTTCAAGAAAGAGACATTCAAAAAGAAGATATAGTAAAAGATCAAAAACACCTGTAAAATTAGAGATTTATTAAAATAGAAAAGAAAATAAAATAGGAGAGAAAGTACTTCTAGTTCATCATCTGATTCTTCATCTTCTTCATCTTCTAGTGGAAGTTCTAGTAGTAGTAGTAGTAGTGGATCTTCTTCTTCTTCGCAATCAGATGATAAAAAATAAACAAATTAAAATTAGAAAAAGACATCTTCAAGTAGTTCTTCAAGTGATTCTGATAGTTCATCATGATTATTATATTTTAGTGTTAAAATAAAGAAAAATTAAATCACATAATATTGCAACAAGATGCATTTAAATTACTGGAATTGGTTACATATATTGAAATTACATCCTATCTTTCTTAATAAAGTGATTGAACTAATGCAGATTCTTTTTATCTAACTCTTTGAGAATTAAGAATATCAAAATCTTCTAAAGCTAGATTTGTGAATTAAAGTGTAATTAATATCTAAATAATTATGATATAATATTACTTTCAATTCTTCTATATTACTATTTGGAGAAATATCAATTTAAAATGGTTTAATATTAATGGTGTTGTTTCTAAAATTATGATCAAAAGTTCCATAAATTATCATTTTTATTATTATTTCTAACAAATAAATTAAAATTAGTAATTTCAAACAAATTAATCTGATGAATTATGAATAGTTAATATATATCAAATATATCATATATATAATTTATTCTTATTAGATTAATAAGAATACTAGATGTAATTTAGAAATAATATTAAACACATCTGTTTTATAAATAGTTAATTGTATTTTTAAATAATTCTCATTCATTTTAGGCATGGTAAATTATCACATAAAATTTATTTTTTTGCTTTATATTTCTCTTCACAATTATTCAAATTGACTAGTTTGGAAAACTATATTTTGAAAGTATTTTTTTTAATTTAAAGAATAAATTCTAATTAAATGGACCTTCTAAATGATCCAGCAAATGATCGACATGTAAAAACTCTAAAGCCTCCTCCTCATAGACCTTTGACGAAGAACCTCATGTTTCCAGAGAAATTGAAAAGTATTTAAAAAATTAATAAAACAAGACAAACCAGATTGGAAATTACTTAGAGATCATCTTCAAAAGGAAGGTAGAGTGTCTAAAGAAGACCTTTATAAATTAGTTGGAGATTGCAATAAATTATTAAGTATAAGTATTAGCAATAGTCTAGAGAATGAAGGGAATGTAATATATTTACAAGATCCGCTTACAGTAGTTGGAGACATACATGGGTAAGATTAAAAATTAAATTAGACAATACTATGATTTGTTAAAACTACTAGAACCTAAGGTTGGAGGGAATCCTGAGACAACTAAGTATTTTAATGCATAATTTTTAGATATTTGTTTCTTGGAGACTTTGTTGATAGAGGATCTTATTCTATAGAAGTAATAATCTTGCTTTATGCAATAAAACTGAATTATCCAAACACTGTATATTTTTTGAGGGGAAATCATGAATGCAGATAACTCACAGCATTTTTTAACTTTAAGGATGAATGTAATTACAATCATTTAAAAAGGTCTTTATAAGTATGATTAAGAGACTTATGATATGTTGATGGATTCATTCGATTTATTTCCTTTAGCTTGCATAATCAACTCAAAGTTCATAGCTATTCACGGAGGAATATCACCTGATTTAAAATCTGTATTTGCTGCGCTTCATTTTAGTTAGAAGATATAAAGAGGCTGGATCGTTATCATGAGCCTCCTAGAAGTGGATTACTTTGTGATTTGTTATGGAGTGATCCAGTAGATTAAGATTAAGGAAATATGGATGGTTAATGGAAAGGAAATGAGGTCAGAGGATGTAGTTGGTTCTTCGGAAGCGAGGCTGCATCTAAATTCTTACAGAAAAACAATCTGATATCTATCATTCGTGCACATGAAGTAAATTGCAATGAAAATTTCATAAGGCTTAATTGGATGGATATAAAATGCATCGATGGCATGGTGGAAAAGATTTTCCTGTTGTCATTACTATATTCAGTGCTCCTAATTATTGTGATGTTTATAATAACAAGGGGGCTGTAATTAAATTTGAAGTAACTCCTCTTTTTTTATTATAATAAGAATAACACTCTGAATATCTAACAATTTTAATATACACCTCATCCTTATTTATTGCCAAATTTTATGGATATTTTCACATGGTCGATACCATTTGTAGCTGAAAAAGTAACTGAAATGCTTTACAATTTACTATAAGTTGGTGATCAAGTTGATGATGAGGAAGTTAATGAAGAAGATATCAAATAATTTAAAGAATTGACTTAATAAAATAAATAATTTGATAAGTAAAGCACTGCTGGGTCCAATAAAGCAAAAAGTATTATAATAAAATTAATATAAAAAGATACAGAAAAATTGAAGAAGAAGATCATATTTGTAGCAAATATGATAAAGATGTAAAAGACATTGAGAGAACAAAGTGAAAGCATTATCTAACTTAAAGGAGCATGTCCTGATAAAAGATTGCCCAGAGGTATTTTGACTGCTGGCAAATCAGCAATAATGGATGGTAATTTATATAATAATTATATTTAGCTCTAACTGATTTTAATTTAGCAAGAAATGCAGATATTGTCAATGAAAAAATGCCAACAGTAATTTAGACACCATAATAATCGATTTCGATTAACAAATCAACTAATTCAACAACATCTAATACAAAGAAAAAGTGAGTAACAATTATCAATGTTTAAAATATGATAAATTAATTTCAATTCATTATATAACACACTACCCAGCACATAATCTATATAGAATCTCATTTTTTATTACCCTGGATTTTGTATTTTTTCTTCTCCTGAAATAGCCTTTTGCTACTTATTAGGAAGAGTCATTCTTAAATTACTTTAAGAATAATGCTTTTCCTCTTGACTACCTCTTAATAAACTAGTTTTATTTTTCAATGTTTATAAAATCTAATATATTTACTATTTCTTTAAATTCAGAGTTTCTTGCAATACTTCATATTCTTTTTCTGCTTCATTGATTTTTAAGTCTAACTCTTTATTTTATGTGGATAATTTTAATTATTAACTTTTTAAAGCATTTAATTCTTCATTGGCATTTTCAACTTAAATCATACTAAAATCAATCTACTTTACTTTTTAGTTTTCAATTTCATTTTCAATATCCTCAAGTTCATGTTATTTATCAATGATTGTTTCACTCATTTAAAACTCAAGTGATTCACTTTTCTTATTTTCATTTTTGTATAAAAGTGAACTAGCTCTTTAGATTAAAGAAATTTCCTGATTTATTGTATCAATCTTGTCATTAATTTATTTTAATTGATATTCTTATTCTTCAGTCTGCGATTTGTGTTATTAATATAACTAAATATGTATTTTAAATTATTACAAATGCATATTTCACTTCAATTATGACACAAATATCGCAATCTGTATATTTACTACATAATGAACAAACATTTCGAGAGCATTTGGGACTATATTTATAATAAAATATGAATACCAAATTACAAGTTTATCATCTATAAAACAGATTTCACAAATAGGCATTTTTGATAATTTATATAAAAATAATTTATTTCATTTCTATTTTTTAGATTTCTTTTCTTTCTTTTATTCAACCTTCTTATGACTATCCTTTAAAGCATAATAAGCTACATATATAATAATAATACCTAAAATCATGATAATAAAAAATGCTATAAATACTGTAGCAAATATCAAAATAGAAATATTTGATTATTTGTCTATTGATTAACCAAATACTTTTGTCTCATATGGATTCTCCATATAATCAGGATATTCAGAATAATTTAATCCATCAAATTCATCATCACCCATCATTTCCCTTGATTTTGCTTAAAAGTCCTAGAATGAGTTAATTAAAATACTTCCATGATTTTCCAAACAGATTCTTCATCATCATCAAATGTAATTTTAGCAGATTGATTTTAATATTTTGACAAATCAAAGTCATTCATCAAATAATAATATTAATTAACATTGAATTATCCAACTTGTATTTCATCATACATCTAAAATTTTAAATCAATTATCTAATTACTTATTAAGCTATCACACCTGTTTAACGAAGGATGCAATATTAAGTAGCATCTATTTAGATTCTTTTACTAGCTTTTCTTTATGTTTCATATCTAATTTCAGGAGATTCAATTGTTTAATATGCTTCTATTATAGAATTTAATTGGTTCATAACAACATCATCATTATATGTCAAATAAGATGATGATGTGATAACACAAGAATAAAAAATGTTTTTAGTATGGTTGACATTTTTTTCATATTCTAAAGGATAAGAGAGCAATATCAACCTGGAGTTGGAATTCTAATGGTATCATTTTAAGATTTGTTTCTTGCTTAAACAACAGCTAGAATAAGCAACAAGTGTAGCATAATTTTAATAAATATCAATAAAATTCATTCGTTTTTATTAACTACAAAAATTCTATAAAAAGGTTTTTAATTTTGCAATATCTTATCAAATATTGTTTATTATATATATCTTTGATGTATTCACTATAGATGACACTTATATTGATAATACTAGTATTATTTTTAATCAAATTTATCAGTTAATCTATGATTATTGTTATATAAATATACAAATATATGAACTATCTTTAATTTATTCATAATTTTATATATGCTATTGTAAATAATCAATATCTAATTTAGTATTATAACTAAAGTATTTATTGAAATCTATCATTTTTTGCAATTTTTATAATTAAAAAATTATTCTAAGTTTTATCATTTTTATATTTGCGATTTATTATAAATTACAATTATTAGATATTATTATATAAGTTTCATAGCATATTAGATATCAATGAAGCTTGAGTCAATAATTTTAAGATGTTTAAATTCACAAATATAAATGTTGTAAAATTGAATAATATAAGATAAATAAATGATCTTATATTTAAATCATTATTTGACTTCTTTAACTAAATTCTCAAATTTCTGAATCTCCTTTGATTCTTGTGTAACTGCTTTAAGTACATAGTGATTATCACAACTATAAAAGTATTTTGTTATTTTTACTGTGGACAATATTCATCTGATTCATCATAATCAGTAATGTCTTTACGGAAAACTTTCTTGCATTTCTTACAAGCAAAAACCATTTCAATATTTTTTTATAATGGATGATTTTCCAGTTCTTAATGACATTCAGCACAATCAAACCATCTTATTAGTTTATATAAACTATATTACTTTTTACAACATGCTGCTCTGATAGCAACTTAAGCATTGAGAATATGTTTGCACATTTTTTATTTTAAATTTTAAATTGTATTAATAATTAAATCTTTATACATGTCAAGTGATAACCCAGATGGTCAACCCTTGGATTTCGAATATTATGAAACCAATTATCCATATTTGAATGTTAAGAAGAATCTTCTAAACAACACTTTATCAAAATGGAGAAGGGCTATAGCACCTTATAACCCATTTGCCATGCAATAAATCCCTAATCAAAAGAGAATGGGTATGGGTATAAGAAATGGTAATGGATTTTACTTCCCTGATCCATATCCTAACAGAGTTAATTGGAGTGTGTTTTTCCCAACACATTATGATCCTTTGAGTGAATAACACTTTGGAAATCATGGATGGTAGACAAGAAAGTAATAACAAATTCTAAATGAAATAGAGATGCACCAATGTTTACAGCACTAGCAATTAGAGCTTAAGCACTTCCAAGAGGATGTGTTAGATAAATTGAAGCCTTCAAAAGATGCTAAAATGTAAATGGAGCAACAAAATGTCAAGAAGAAGCTGATAACATCATTTCTATTTGTCCAAAATGGGCTTTGGAAGGATTGAAGGAAAAAAAGAAACAACTTGATAAAATTGAAGCCATCTAGACACTCCAATATCGTTCAGTTTTAGAGGTTTCTCCCTACAATAAGGTAAAATTATATTGTAAATATTATTTATAGGGTAGAACAGTAAAAGATGTTTCAGATAAAACCTGGGCTGATGGACATAGAGATAAGTTGAGACCTGATACAATGTGGGCTGATGAGAGATATACAAACATAACTTAGAGTGAAATTAATGAAGCTAAGAAAAGAGTGGCTGCTAGAGATGCTGCAAGTGGAAGGTATGAATAAAATACTAAGTTAATATAGAGTTAAGGATAAGGTGTACCCTGTGCATCATCCAGATATGTCGAGTTCTCATATCAGAGAAGACAAACCTCTATATCCATGATTTATTAATAAAATAATAAATAAAAATATTAAAACAAATCTTTAAGAATGGTATGTGTTCATTGTAAATTAGGGATTGTTGAATATCATTCGAAAGATCAAAAAGTCAGAAAAGGAATTGAGAATACTTGTCTTAGGATTAGATAATGCGGGTAAAACTACTATTCTAAAGGCTTTGTCTAATGAGGACATCAATCAAATTGCTCCTACACATGGTTTTAATATCAAAAATTTATAACATGAAGGATTTAAACTTAATGTTTGGGATGTAGGAGGTTAAGAGGTATGCTTTTTGTTGCATAATAGAAATTACGTGAATATTGGAGTAATTTCTATGAAAATACTGATGCTTTAGTATTTGTTATAGATTCATCAGATTAAATGCGTTTGGAAGAGGGAGGCAAAGAATTGGACAAATTATTAGGAGAGGCTGAATTAAAGAAAGTGCCACTTTTGGTATTTGCAAATAAATAAGATTTGGTGCAAGCTCTTCCAGCAGATGAGGTTAATATGCTTACTTAATTCAGATCTCTGATAGTTTGAAATTAAATAAAATTACAGATAGATAATGGTCGATTGTAGCATGTTCAGCTAAAACCCAAGAAGGATTACAAGAAGGAATGGAATGGCTTATTAAGACAGTCTAAGATAAATGAATATTAAATAATAAATATTATTAATATGAAATCATAGATTGAAGTTTTAATTCATTTCAAGAAATTCACAAACATTGATCTTTTTACCTAAGGAATCTATTAGATAAGAGTCCATATAGTAATAATTCTAATCATCATAATTAGCCCGAAGCTTAACCTTACTTGATCTTTAAGTCTATAAGACAAGATCCATTTACAACCAATGAGGTTGATAAAAATTTTGTATTTTATGAAGAGAACATAGAAGACAAATACTTTTATTCATAAGGATTTTTGATTAGATATGAAGATGAACAAATGTCAACTAATATTGGATGCCTATTTCGATAATAAGAAACTCAAAATATAGAAATCGTTATTGAATTATTATTTCTTGATAAAAAACTTTTAGGAGACATATATGTGGATGACTTATAGTCTGTTGCCTTGTCACTTAGATAATAAATGCAAATAATATCAAAGGCCACATTAACAGTGTCTAATCCATTAATATATAATTAAGCATATTATCCTGTAGAATTTGATTCTGCCCACTTTTCTTTATTAGAAACTTAGATACATACAATTCCAATATAGTTTTCATTTACAAAGTAGCAATTAATTAACGAATTTAAAACATAAGAATAATTTAATGAAGTTATTAATAAATCCATTTATTTGTTGTTGAATAATAGAGAATAGTTAATAAAATAACTCAATAATTTATAGAATGAGAAGAAACTAAGACAATTTTAATATTAAGAGAAATAAATAGATTTCAAGGATGATGATAAAGAAGATTAAATTATACAAGTATATTCTTATCCATCAATAGAGTCTACATGATCTTCATCATGATATGTATATATTATGGTGTGAACTAGTGGATGCAATCAAGGAGAACCCTCAAAAGTTATAAGATTAATTGGAATAAGAATTTTTATGTCAAATGATCTAAAGGTGGTAAAATTGTGTACTTTTAAATAAATCTGAAGTTAAATAATTGGATTAAGTTCAATAAAATGGAAGAAATAATCATGAAATAGCAAAGTTGAAGAGAAATTAACTTTTTTCATAAGAAATAGATGCTATAAGATATATAGAATTGCTTCAACCTCTAAATACAAATCCATTTATATTCAAATAAACTTGTGTTTAAAATGGATTTTACTAGAAGCCTTAAAATTCTTATGTTCATTATGTTGTCTTAGTTCATGGATATTAAGGTACATCATATGATATGAGATATTGGAAATCTATATTGACAATTAGATTTAAAGATAAAATTAGATTAATTTGTCCAACATGTAATGATGGCACTTCCAATAAACCAATTTAAGAATAAGCTAAATTACTTGCTGATGAAATTGAAAACTATTTAAGTGATGAAAATATAAATGAATATAGATTGTCATTTATTGGTCATTCTCTTGGAGGACTTATTATAAGAGCAGCTCTTCCTTAATTGAGGGAATATAAAGAATTTATGCACACTTATGTTAGTCTAGGATCACCTCATTGTGGATATGCTTCATCTGAAAGTGTTTTAGTTGATACTGGTTTGATGATGATCTAAAAATGGAATAAATGTAAAACACTTGAAGAATTAAGTTAAAGAGATCATAAAGATGTTAAAAATACTTATATATATAATTTGAGTAAAGCAGAGGGATTGAATTGGTTCAATAATGTTGTTGTAATGTCTTCATTTCAAGATCATTATGTACCTTTTCATTCTGCTTTGATATAGAAAATTGAGAATGTTAATGATCAAAAAGTTTAGGCATATAATGAAATAGTTTCAAATATTTTATCAAAATGTGGTAAAATAGATAGATTTGACATAAATTTCTAAATAACTAAAAAGTAATAATAATAATTAGTATTATTATAGGAAATTAGATAAATTTATAGGAAGAGCAGCTCATATTGAATTTATCGATAATTTAACATTAGTAAAAATGTTTGTTTACTTGTACGATGAATATTTTCATTGATTTAAATATAATAATACATAAATAGATATTGTTTATAATAAATAATATATAGCATCATTATAATGAATCTAATACAAATAGTTAGACAAGATATTTAGAATCATAATTAATAATAAAATAATAACTCAATTCAAAATTCCGTATTTATTTATATTATAAATTCTATATTGATTGTATATGTATTTCATTTTATATTAATAAATAAATAATATCCATAAATAATAGAATGTAGAGTGTGTAATACTAATCTTGTTATAGGTTTATGTTTTTCTGCAATATATAAAATAAATTTACATGACATCAGAATTTAATTAAATTATAAATGAGATTGATTTTGTTGGCTATTCTCTGCATGACACTTTATGCATAACCTAGCCCTGCTGTTATTCATGAAAGTTGGGTTCACTATGAAATAGAGTTAAAGGGAAAAACTTGGCCTTTTGATGCTAACACAAACAACACAGAGACTGCATACACAGACAACTTTATTTTATTGGATGTATATAGAATCTATAAAATAGGCCTTTATTAATTAAGATCCAAAAGTAGCTGAATATGATTTGGGCTAAACATTATATTCAGATATAAGTGCTGCCGATTTTAAAACTCAATTCTTATTAAAAGATGCAATTCCTTCTTATGGAGAGGCAAGAGGTTTAAGTACTTAAAACTTACCCGTTGAAAAAGTTTGGCAACACTTAATGGAAAAGAATGCTCCTGATGCTGGTGCTCACTCTTGGGCATTCTCAGCAGTTGCTTCAGTTGAAGCATACTTTAATAGAGCTATAACTGATCCTGCAGATTATGTTCGATTGGCAACATAATAGATTATAGATTGTGTGACTGATGGTAAAAGTCCTTTGGATGCATTATTATGGATTAAATAGAATGGTATTGATTTGAGATCTACTTATACAACTAAAAATTGTGTACCAAAAACATAAGAATATAAGATATAGGATATTAGATTAGTAAAGGCTGACAAAGAGTATGATATTATCATATATTAATAGTCAATTGAAAGCTGCTTTATAATTCACACCTGTGACTGTTTGTTTTGATTTGACAAAATTCTAATAATATATTAATGGAGTTATTAATTAAGATTGTACAGATGGAACAGTTAATTATTGTGGTTTATTATTGGGATATGAGAATGATGAATGGATTATATAAACTACATTAGGTTAAATTACAAAGGATTAGGAAATCAAAACATACTGGGGAGTTGAAGGTATTGTCAGATTTCATGCTGATGTTGCACATTGTGGAGTTTCAAAACATGCAGCCTTCCCTATGTTAATGAATGAAGATATTTAATAACTCAAAGATGATTTTTAAAATTATAAAGAATAATTTTAAAAAGTATATGCTACATAAGAAGAGGAAGACTTAAGATTTTAAATTTGGGCTTATGCTTAAATGGATAATTCAGAACTTCATTATTTTGGTAATACTCAATTTACTGATTTGACTGAAGCTGAATTCAAACAAAAATATCTCATTACAGATTTCACTCTTTAATTAGATAAACCATTCATTTCTGATAATATTTTGACAGCTGATGATGATAATATTGATTGGAGAACTATCAATGTAGTATCTGATGTGTTTGATTAAGGAGACTGTATTTCTTCTTGGGCTATTGCATCTAAAAATTGTTTAGAATCATATTTCAGATAATAAACAAGTAAATATGTCAAATTGTCCTTACAATAAGTAATTGATTGTTCAGATTAATTGGATCCATTAAAAGGATGTTTGAGTGGAATTCCAACTGATGCACTCAAATATATTAAAAGTAATGGTTTACATTGGGAAAGCAAATATCCATATACTGGAAAGGCTTAAGCATGTGCTTAAGTTGAAGGATTATAATTAAGACCAACAAATTATCTAAAACTTGACTCTATTAAGTAAACTTAAAATTTAATATTATAGTGCAATCTCATAAGCCTTAAAGTAGAGACCAGCCGTTGTATGTTTTAATGCTTCCAAACTTTAGAGTTATACTAAAGGCATAATAACAGCTTAAGATTGTGGAGGTAATACAAACAACTATTGTGGTTTACTTGTTGGTAAAACACCAGATTATTGGATTGTTTAAGGTTCATTCGGAACTACTTGGGGTTTAGATGGATATGTTCATATAGCATATGGAGATAATTGTGGCATCTAATCAAATGCATTCACAATTATTTGAAAATCATTATTATCAAGATTTAAATAAATTATAGATCATTTTTATATATAATTATATTTATAAATTAAAATGTTAATTTCATTTAATATCATAGATAAGATTGACTTAATATTTGAACGTATTATTGGAAAACAAATTCAAAAACAAAAGATTATGGAATTTTAGTTCAAGTTTAAACCAAAAGGGATATTTTAATTGTAATAATAATAAATTATACACTTTTATTTATATGTTAATTCGAAAGTATTTTATAATAAAGATTTTTTTATATATATAATTTTGAGAATATTATTCATAATATATAAAAAATAATTCATCTTAACTTCCTTAATTGATTATACTATTATCTTTAAAGTAATATATATCATGAAAATTTTCTTAAAGAAATTATATCAAAATTTGAATTTAGATTAAGTTATTCAATATTTTTATTTTTATTTTTTACTTTAGAAATAACTATTAATATGGATGATCTAAAAAAGGTTAATGTAGATACACTCACAGCAAAGGAGAAATAAAAATGTTATGAGGCTTTTGTTGCATTTGATAAAAATGTATCAGGATATATTGAAAAAGATGAATTAAGAGCTGTTTTAGAAGGTAAAAAAATATTAAATTGTTTAGAAATGGGATAGAAGCCATCAGAAGAAGAATTAATTAAAATGATTAATGAAGTAGATTTATCAGGAAGAGGAGCCATTAGCAAAGAGGATTTCTTAAAAATTATAGCTTATCATAAAATGATTTTATAAACAAGTGATGAAGAAGATATAAGTAAATTTTTAATTTAAAACTTTAATAGAACTTGCATTTATAGCTTTGGGAGGTAATGAAGATAAAACTGGATCTGTAGATAGATAAAAATTAATTAATGTTATATAAAATGAATTTAATCTTTCAATAGATTTAAATGTAAGAAATACTTATAATATAATAGAGACTAATAAAAGAACTGTCTCCAAACTAAAATGAATTGAAATATGAAGATTTTCGTAATTTACTGTAAAACTGATTTATTCAATTTTATAATATAAATAACATTCGTTTAAAAAATAATTAATATTCTATAAAAAAAAGATTTTTATTATTATAATCTGAGCATAAATTAATATATAAATAAGAATCAACTAAACATGTATTGTTCTTCTTCAATAATGAAATCACCTATATTAGGAGTAAACTATTTTAAGTGATCAAAAGTAAATTTAGAAGGCTTCCATATTTTAATCATTCTATCTTGTCCACCACTAACTATAAGTGAACTATCATTTATAATGTTAAGAGAATTAATTTATTAAACAGAAGCACTAATATCACTAACAAGTTAAAATTTATTCTCACTTATTCTAGTTGCTTTTATTTATCCATCTTTACATCCTGTGTACATAACTTTTAGGTTTTTATCAACTAATAATAATAAATAAATTATTATACTGGCCATTGTTAAGATTGAATCTTTATGAATATCTGAATTTGCTTATCCTTATTAACCATTGATTTAATTCCACATTCTCATTCCTTTACCAAATGAACAACTCACTATCCAATTATCTAGTAAACCAACTCCAGTAACTTTATCATAATGTGGAGGTGTCATTTATGCAATCTAACCATATTTATTACTATTCATCATCATTTTTCTCACATTATGATTAAAAGTTCCCCAAATTAACTCTTAAGTTTAATCAGATTATTATATACACATAACATCACTTGATTTCTCAAATTCATGAATTTAACTTAATATATCATTATATTTCAATACTTATTTGATCTTGTATCCCAAACATTCATAGCATAATTAATACCTTTACCACCAGCCACTAATAAACCATTATGTCTAGTCATTACTCTTATTTCATCTATTGAAGATTTTAATACACTCTAGAGTTAAAACGAAGTCACATCATATAATGAAATTTGAGATCCATGTGATACAGCAATAGCATTCCTTTCAGGCCAATGACAAATTGATTTAACATGTGTATTTGCATCCAATGATATTATATGAGATTATGCATCCATATCCCATATTTTAACAGATCTAAAGGCACTTGAACATAATAAATTCTACATTGTATATATACACAATATAGGATTCTCATGACCAGGTATTGATTTAATTATGCTATTATATTTATGATCATTTAATACTCATATCTTAATTCTTATTCTTCTTATGCTTAACTAAATTAATCAGTATATCCCTCTCTATCTGATTTACAAACTTTAGCCATCTTAAGAGCTGAATTTTAGATATAAGGTTTTTAAAAACTTAAATTTAATGATAATTCTTTTTGTTTGGTTCTTTCCAATTTATATGCATCTCTTATTTATTGATAACTCTAACTTTATGGAAGTTAAAATGAATCACTTAAACCAATACATTTATCTTTTTATACTTTATTAATATGTTCAGTGTAGAATTTCTTATAATATTCTAAATCTGATATCATATTTTTATTTTCATTTTATAAAAATTAATACTTTCTTTTTTAATCATTAAGTTATTTTCTAAGTTCTAATGCATCATTAGGTTATGAGGAAACTTATTATTTAACAATCTTCTTTTTAAGAGTAGGAGAATTGCAATTAATCTCTTAAAGTGGTTTTTATAATTATTATTGTAATTCTTAAATTATTTGTTAAAATTCATCATTTTATTAATTAAAATTTTACATTTATAAATGATCTTTAATCCAATTATCAATTACATATTTAAATATTTTAATACACCAATTTGGAAGATCTCTCAATTCAGAATTAGTTAAAAAATTTGTATATACTTCTGTGCAAT